GAAAACAGAGAGTGACTGGGGATGTGAGGCAAAATGAATGTTTTTACTGCCAGAAAAAAAGGACATAAGAAAAAAAATTGCAGAAGGTGAATACAGGATGAAAAGATGTTCCAGGAAGATTACGGGGTCAGGGGCTCTATGTGCTGGGGACCCCTGAAGGATCAGAGCTCTTGATGCAATTGAAAGTGGGTCCTCAGCGCCAGGACATGGAGTTCCTTGTGGACTCTGGGACTGTCCAAGAGCTACCCTGGGGATCAGTTTCTTCAGAAGAACTTCAGGTAGTCAGAGCCAAGGGTGAACCATTTAAAGTACCAGTAATCAAAGGAGCAGAGATAGAAGCACCCTGTAAGTATGGTTTAGGTTCCTTTTTGCTAGTGCCTGAAGCAGAGTATAATTTGTTGTGTAGGGATTTGATTATTGAATTAGGAGTTAATTTGGAAGTTAGAAACAAGCTGAATGTAAAATTACGTGCCCTGACATTGAAGGATGAGGAACAGATAAATCCTGAGGTGTGGTATAGCTCGGATTCGGTGGGGAAATTGGATATTGCCCCTTTTGAAGTTACCATTAAGAACCCAGAGATCCCTGTAAGGATAAAACAGTGCCCTATTTCACAGGAAGGCCGACAGGGACTCCAACCAGAGATTGAGAGATTAATAGCAAGAGGTTTGTTAGAACCCTGCGTGTCACCATTCAACACACCTGTACTACCTGTGAAGAAACCTGATGGGTCATAAGGGCTAGCGCACGACTTGAGGGAAATAAACAAGCAAACCATCGCCTGATACCCAGTAGTTGCCAACCCTTATACTCTGTTAAGCCAGTTAACACCAGAACTGAAGTGGTACACAGTCATAGACTTAAAAGATGCATTCTGGGCCTGCCCCCTTAAGGAGGAATGTGGGGATTATTTTGCTTTTGAATGGGAAGATCTCCAAACCCAACAATTAAGGTGGACAGTGTTACCCCAAGGATTCACCTAATCTGTTTGGTCAAGCATAGAACAGGCACTGGGCACTTCTCAACCAGATCTCCAGGCAACCTTAGTGCAATATGTAGATGATTTGTTCCTGGCAGGGGCAGACGAGGATGCAGTCCGAAAAGAAAGCATTAAGTTATTAAACTTTTTAGGCCTAAAGGGACTAAAAGTATTGAAGTCAAAATTGCAGTTTACAGAAGAGGAAGTAAAGTATTTGGGACATTAGTTAGCAAAAGGAAACAAGAAATTAGACCCAGAAAGGGTGAATGGAATCTTATCCCTCCAGGCTCTGAAAAATAAAAGACAAATAAGGCAAATCCTGGGATTACTGGGATATTGTAGACTATGGATTGAGAACTATAGCTGTAAGGTAAAGTTTTTATATGAGAAATTAACCAAAGATGGACATCTGAAATGGGGCCAAGAGGAAGATCAGGAACTAAAAGATTTAAAAGCAGACTTAGTTAATGCCTCATTATTAAGCCTGCCAGATGTTACATTTTACCTGTTTGTGGATATAGATGGAGGGACAGCATTTGGGGTCCTGACACAGGAAGAAAGAAACCTGTGGGGTACTTTTCTAAGTTACTTGATCCCAAGAGTAGAGGGCGGCCAACTTGTTTTCAAGCCATAGTGGTGGTAGCCCTTTTAGTAGAGGAAAAGTAATCTTTGGTGGAGAATTAAAAGTATAAACCCCCCAACATTAGGGGAGTATTACAACAAAAGGCAGATAAGTGGATAACTGATGCCAGGTTGTTAAAATATGAGGGGATATTAACACATTCCCCCAGGTTGGAAATTGAAACTATGGGCCTACAGAACCCTGCTCAATTTATTTATGGAGGACCGAATGCAAATCTGACTCATGATTGTATACAATGTATAGAGCATCAATCCAAAATTTGGGAAGACATGGAGGAAGAAGAGTTACAGGAAGGAGAAAAATGATGTGTAGACGGGTCCTCTCAGGTGGTGGATGGAAAGTGTAGATCAGGATATGCGATAGTGGATGGGAAAACATTATCAGTAGCCGAATCAGGGGTGTTAGATAAATCCTGTTCTGCTCAGGCTTGTGAATTATACGCCCTATTGAGGGCACTAATATTACTTAAAGATAAAAAAGGGACCATTTGTACTGACTCTAAATATGCCTGTGGGGTAGTCCACACCTTTGGGAAGATATGGGAAGAAAGGGGCTAATAAATTCACAAGGAAATGGGTTGGTTCATGAATACCTAATCAAGCAGACACTGCAACCTTTGAGAAGACCGAAGCAAATAGTGATTGTACATATAAGAGGTCACCAAAAGGGAATCCAATCCAATCCAATCACATAAGAGGAAACAACCTGGCTGATGAGGAAGCCAAGAAAGCAGCTCTGTTGATAGTTAAAGAGTTAGGGATCGAGGAGTCTAAAGAGCAAAAACAACACAAAAAAAGTTTTACTGCTAAGGAAAAGGAAAGGTTGTTGCAAATGGGTATTGAAAAAAGAAATGGGTAATGGTTACTTCCTGGTGGTTGGGAAGTACTACCAAAAGGAGGGGAATGAGAGAAAAACACATTGGGGAATCCAGGCACCAGCGGACCAATGTAGCACAAAATATATGTGCGTTGGGTTATACAATATAGCAAAGGCTGTTTTGGGAGGATGCTTGACCTGTAAGAAAGTTAAGAAGCAGCATCTAAGAGAAAGAATACCAGGTGGGAGAGAATTAGCCTTAAGGCTGTTTGCCAAAATCCAGGTAGATTTTACAGAATTGCCTAAAACTGGGAGGTATAAATATTTATTGGTGATCGTAGACCATTTGACGTATTATGTAGAAGCTTACCCAGTAGCCAGAGCCACTGCCCAAACAGTGATAAAAATATTATTTGAGAACATCATCCCCAGATATGGGAACATTGAGGTAATAGATTCAGACAGAGGATCTCCTTTTATTTCCAGAACAGTGAAGGAGGCCTTAGAACCACTCGGAGTTAAGTGGGAATTCCACACTCCATGGCACTCCCAAAGCTCGGGGAAAGTAGAAAGATGAATGGAGAAGTCAAGAAACGGCTTACTAAATTAATGATAGAAACTAAGATGTCTTGGGTTAAATGTTTACCACTGGCTCTGTTAAATTTAAGGACCCAGCCTAGCACGGATACAGCCATTTCTCCTTTTAAAATGTTATATGGGATGCCATATGACTTAGAATTAGCAGTAGAACATCCAAAGATTGAGGAATACTCCTTATGGGAGTATGTAGTGGAGTTAATGAAAAGAAGGAATGAGCTGAGAAAGAGAGGCCTGATTGTACAGAGGCCACCCCTAAATATGGCAATCCATCCGTTGAAACCAGGAGATTGAGTGTTGATTGAGACTTGGAGGGAAGTATTCCTCCCCCCTAGATGGGAATGGCCTTTTATTGTTCTGCTTACCACAGAAGCTGCCATCCGGACAGCCGGACGAGGATGGACGCATGTAAGTCGTGTAAAAGGACCCATTCCGGAGGAGCAATGGGAAGCATCTGAAAACCCCGGGGGACTGAAACTCAAACTGAGAAGAAAGACCTAATAAGCACAAAAGAGACCGTCTGTAGCTTGTTGGTACTCACTGACTTCTGTAAGGGGAACTGGTGGATCTGTTATACTTACGGGTATCTCTCCCAAGATATCCGTGACCTGTAACTGAGTGGTCAAGCTCCTACAGAGATTATTTAGAGCCCTATGATGGGACATTTTTGAAAGGGGAATTGGCCTAAAGGAGCGGTTGGTGCGCTTAACGGGGGTAAAACCTTGAGAGCCTGAAAGTGGTTGATAAGTGTCGAGTAAACTTATAAGGAGCAAAGAGGGACCCCTGAAGAATACGACTGCTGCCGGGAAGATGGAAAACCTCGCTGCCCTAAGCAAAAGAGTAGGTGAAGGAGGCAGAGGCGTAAAACAGTGGGGATGTAGGCCAAGAGGCCCCCTCAGGGGTGGAACCCCAGGCTCCCACTCCCTGGGCCAATGCCTCTTACAGCGTGGATATGACACCCAGATCCATCGGGCGCTTAAAAGTTTGGAGGAAAGGAGGAATCCATTTAACCACCATAAGGATCCACCAGTTATCCTATTCTTATATGCTATTGTATGCATTGTGGGGTGGGTGCTGGTACCAATCCAGGCAGAAAGTAGCCCCCACCGGCCCTTTAAATGGTCCCTAATCAGGTGGGAGGATCAGCAAGTGATTCAAATTAAGGAGACTGCAGGTCCACCCAGTTTCACACCTACTTTATGTGAGCTTGTACCAATTAAACCATGCCTGAACCTTTTAGGATTTTATTTCTGCCCGAGCTCTAACCCAGGAAAAGAATATTGCAATAGGCCGGGCCATTATTATTGTGCATACTGGGGTTGTGAGACCATAGCTCCTGATTGGATAGGAGGGAAGGGTAAAGATCCCTTCCTATCCGTAGGCTGGGGACCCACAGGGTGTACACCTCCTCGTCGAGATTCCAGTGGAGGCACCGTCTCCCCAGGGAACTGTAAGCACATTTACCTCAACATAACCAAACACGAAGATCCAGGATGGACAATAGGAAAAACCTGGGGAATGAGATACTGGGAACCAGGTACCGACCGAGGGGGTGTGATATATATTAAGAGGGAAGAACTTCAGTCATCCCTTGTGGCAGTCGGACCAAATGTAGCACTAAAAGAGGATCCAAAGCCTGAGGGAGGGAGTGTCAATGTCACCGAGGACAGTAGAGACAACTCCACTGAAAAACCTGTGATAGAAGCTGTGAGTAACAACCCCCTTTTGGAATTTAATGAAAGCTAGTTATCAGGCCCTTAACGACTCCAACCCGAACGTGATGAACCATTGTTGGCTACGTTACGATATTAAACCTCCATTTTATGAAGCAATAGGAACTACCACTCATGCTAAGCTCACAAATGAATCGAAGCCCAGTCAGTGGAAGTGGAAGGATGGGAAAAGGGGGCTCACTATGCAACACGTAATTGGAAAAGGGCAGTGTATAGGTGAAATACCTGGGCCCAGGGAGAAACTTTATGGGGTAACAGTGTCCCTAGAACCAAAAGCTGAATGGGTAATTCTGGCAAATGGGACCAAATGGATTTGTTCCAGGCTGAGAATATTGTGTTGAAGTGACCATTATTCCTAGGATGTTATATCACAATTATATATATCACATATATAATCATTAGGAAAAAAGGGAACGCTACTTACAGAAAAGAGAACCCTTTGCAGCTCTCACTATAGCAACTCTAATGGCTGTAGGAGCTGCGGTAGCGGGCACAGGCATCACTTCTCTGGTACAACAAAATCAAAGGTTCCAATCATTACGAGCGGCTGTAGATGAGGATTTGGTAAGAATCAAAAAGTCTATAACAGCCCTAGAAAAATCGTTAAGATCACTATCAGAAGTAGTGTTACAAAATCAACAAGGACTCAATGTATTATTCTTGCAACAAGGAGGTTTCTGTGCAGCCATAGGAGAGGAATTCTGATTTTATGCTGACCACACTGGGGTAGTAAGAGATGCCATGACCAAATTAAGGGAAGGATTGGAGAATCAAAAAGGAGAGAGAGAACAACAGCAGAGTTGGTATGAGTCATGGTTCAACCGTTCTCCATGGCTTACTACATTATTATCTACAATAGCTGGTCCTTTGATGTTGTTGATGTTAGTGCTAACCTTTGGACCCTGTATTTTTAATAAAATGATCTCCCTGGTAAAAAGCAGACTTGAAGCAGCACATTTAATGTTGATCAGAAGACAATATGAACAATTAGAGGAGAAGGAGGTCAGTGAGACCCCTATCCTTGAGTTGGCTCGGGAAGCGGTTAATCGATTTGATGAACAAAATGGGAAAAAGAAAAGGGGAGAATTGTAATAGGAGCAATCTGTTGTTTGTTAACCAAGCTTATCCCTAGGAAACTGCAGTAACCACAGCTTCCAACCACAGACCTCCTGAAACATGAACAAATATAACCATTAAATGTATGGACCCCAGGACTTACACAGCTCTAAAGATGTTGTGCAAGGATCACAAACGGATGCACTGCGAAAGATCCCAGCCCCCACCTGACAAGACAAAGGACGACTCCAGCAACAGGACCACGATGCACCAGAGATATCGAGAGCACCACCCACACCAGATGTGGAACTGTGTGCAGACCGTCGGCTGCAAGGGGGCAGCGTGCACCATTGCTGGAGCAGAGACTCCCTGGACACCCAGAGCTGTTTTGTTTACTTGTTTGCTTTAATAAGTGACAATTTCCAAAATACATAATTGGCTTGCTCAGTTTGCTTGACGTAATTTAAAACAGTGAGGAGGTTTACTTTGTTAAATGTTTACAATCTAGTATAGGAAAACAGGTAGGCATACACAAATTTCTGTACATGCCAAATTCATCCAAACCTTGACTAGGGCATGATTTACTAAAACAACAATGCCACAGCCCAAAGACAAAGGTCTGCGCTCTCCTCAGCTGCAGAGGGCAGCAGTAACCTTCCCATTGAAATGCAGTAGGTCTCCCAGTAAAGAAATACTCATGGCTGGACTGTGCATGCCCTTCAAGGCTCAAACAGGCTCAGAAGATCTAGAGAGGATCTTAAGTAAAATTGCACCCAAGTTTGAACTAGGAGAGCATGAACATTTCTGCCTCCAAAGAAACAGACACAACTTGCACAATGCTTACACATTTTCTCACTCCTCTTGTCTGGCCACCTTGTGACAGTAAGTCCTGTTTAGCGTTTATTTCTTATATTTGTGTTATTTGTTGAGTAATAGCTTCCAGCATGTGCACCAAAGCAGAGAGCATTTACTGAGTGAGGTGGTCAGAAGGGCAGCAGCTCCTGGCTGGCCACGTGCAGGGGCTTCTCAGCCATGTTTGCCAGTGAGGTGTGGGCACAGCTGGTAGAACAGCTCCTGGGGGTAATTTTTGGTCACAGAGCCCTGCAGTGCCCGGAACAAAGCCAGCAGCACGTCCCTATAGAGACCCATGTCAGGTGGGGCTGGGGCCGCAGCATCTCTGCTTCTTCCCAGTCTTAGCAAACAGCAAGTCAGTCCAACAGCTCTGCTTAGAGGAGAACCCAAATTTATTTCAGGCATGTGGTCCTGGAATCTGGAAAACCCCCGATGTCTCCAGGTGCAGGCAGTACTGGCAAGCATCAACATCAGATGGTTTATACACCTGAGCTGCTTAACAGGAAAGGAACGGTGCCATTGCGTGGCTAAACTGAGCCCATCAGGCAGCTGTAAGGTAGTTGAGTCCTCAGAGTCCAAAGTGAGTGGAAGTTTGCTACAACACTCCATGCATGGTTAAGGTAACTTAGTTTCAGCAAGTTTTGCATTAGTAATAATGGGAAAAAAAAAAAAAAAAAACCCACCCAAACAATTATGATAGGCATTGCAAAAGAAACTCTTCATCTTTTGGATGGAAAGTCAATGACTGTGTGCAATTTCCCCTGTGAAGCTGCAGGGCCTTCTTCCACTCCAATGTCTCTGCCGTCTGACACAACGGGAGAGCTGCTGTGGCCTCGTGTCTGTGCCTGTGCTCCTCCAGGATGAGCAGCTTTGTGGGAGGAGAAGAAACCCACAGGGATTTGGGCCACAATTAAGAACTGCATCCTGTAAAGGAAAACCACAGATAAGAGGGAGGATCAGCAAGCAGTGGCACGGCCATCACAGCTCGGGGGGAGGTGTTGTATTTTTCTAAGGCTTGGTTATCCTAGCCACTGGAGGATGATGTCAAAATAACCATTTTGTCACAGGTATCTTTATGGCAAAGGACAGACATAAGTGAGAGCAGCATAAAAGCCAGCTGGGACTCAGACCAGCAGCACAGCCTTCTTACCAGGCTTCCTTCCCAGCAAAGCAATGTGATGGTGCACTCCTTCCTCTCCCTTTCTTTCTTCCTTCCTTCCTCCCTCAGTCTGGCACAAGAAGACAGTGAACAACACTCCTGGCTAAATTAGATTTATGATCACAAAACTGTCTCAGACTGGGAGGCTGAAAGAACTCACAGCAGACCTTTGGCTCAACAGCTGAGGGCCAGTTGAGCACGTGCCTAAAAACAAAGTGCAGCAATGAGTCAATTATCTTACCACCAAACAGAGAGCAGCACAAGCACCTCTTAAGCTCTTCTGCACAGCAGCAGGCTGCAGGACGAGCTCTCCCCTTGTTAGGAAATAGCCAAATAATTTATCAGGACAGTATTCTGATAAAGCAGATTTTATTTGCAATTGCAATGCTGGGCCTCCTGCTGATGTGTGGAATCAAACTCTATAACCACAAAGTAGTTATAAAAGCAGCTATGTTTTAATCAGTGCTGCACAGACACCGGGTGCAAGGGGGCAAAAGCTTGGTACAGATAAAGGCCGAACTAATACATAATCAATGATTTTCCTGGAATTCATACACATATTCACTACAATTCCAAGAACCCATCAGCATATGGTCCGTCCCTCTTGCACGTGCGCCGTGGGCAGTGGGGGTCTCCTTCTGGTGGTCATGGGATGAAGGCTCACTGTCTTCAACAGAAGTAATCCGATCCTGACCCGTTCCTTGTGTAATGTTTCTTCAAGTTTACAATAGAGTTTCGAGATGTTCTTTTCTTATCTGGCCTCACATCCTGCTTACCTGCATTGCTATACAATGGTTAACCCTTATCTTGTCCTCTCTTAACTCACGCAAGCAGGAGAGCACACAGAAAACAGCATTACATCTTTTATGCCCTATAACTCGACACTTATCTCTTTCTCCCCTGAATCCTCATTGGCTGAGTACTTCAGGTTCACAATCTTCCCAGCGCTCAACTAAACATACGGATACTGGATGAACATCAATTGTTGCTAGCTAAGCATATATCACTAATTAGTTAACTTCTCTCACTTGCTCACTCAACACTCGGTCCTTGTTTCTGGACATCTGCTCGTCCTTGCATAGAGAGAAGCTTGGAAGGAGGATAGGGGGGAGTATCTCGATCCCTGCCTGTTGCATCCCAACCTACCCACAGAGCAAGGCAAGCCAGCCTTGTGCAGAGGCCCTGGCTTCTTTGATGTTTCTTAAATCTGTTTTTCTTTTGCTGAGGGTCTCTTATCCAAACAGAATAGCCCTGCAATATGCTTTCTAGTCCATAATACTATACCTACACTATTTGGAACATTTAAGAGCTACTGCAGTTTGGCAAGCAAGAATTAATCACACAATTCAGCAACTGTATTTCTAAAGTAGGTTACTATCACATATGGTATTTCTACTTTTTCACATCACCTATTTCTAAGGACAAGTTACCAAATACAAGTACATTGTGCTCTGTTTCTTCAGATCAATTCCTCCTTTTTAATATCTAATGCAGGAACAACATTCCATTCCTACAGCCTTGAGCAGGGATGCCTCTTGATGTCACACCTGCACAGAGATCCTTTCCACCTCGATATCAAGACACCTTGATGGTACAGATCCTCAGTAAGTGACTAATAGTTTGGTTTGAGCTTTGTCAGCTTCATTAAAGTTATATCTATCTATCTAGGATCCCTTGAACACAAACTGTCTGGGACTAGGAGTGGATCCAGCTGTGCTGAGGAACCTTACCTCTGTGGTTTGAAGAGTGCATGGGGTTGGCTCTGATCCTCAGGACGCAGCAGGAGAGCGTCCTGTAGGTGTGTGTGTAACCCTGTCCTCCATGTAGAAAATAACCCAAAGAGAAGAACCCCAATTAGAGGAATTTAGAACGTTAGAAGCTCCGTCCAGCCGCGGTGCAAACACGCCGCTTCCGCCCGGCAGCGTTCCCACACCCAACATGGCTCCTCGACGGCTTCACCCGCTCCTCAGCGCCCCCCTGCAGCGCGTCTCCCCGCCGCTCTGAACATGCCGTGCCCTTTCTCAAAATGGCGGCCGCCAGCTTCACCCCGCGGCCGCCCTGCCCGGGTGACGGCCGGGTCGCGTGGTCACGTGGCGGACGGCGAGGGCGGAGCGGTGCCGCGCAGCGCGCTGGCTTTGTGCGCTCGTCTTAGCAGTGCCATGCGGTCGGCTCCCGTGGGGTCCGGGGCCTCCTGGGGTCGGTGCCGCTTATGTAGGGGACGGTGCCGGAGGGCCGGGGTCGGCGGCAGCGGGGTGAGCGGGGCCGGTGGGCGCGGGCGGGGAGGGAGAGCTGTGGGGGATGGGAGGAGGGGGGGATGAGGGGGGGGAGAGCGAGCGTCCTCCGAGCGGTGTTCTGTTCCGCAGTTCTTGTCCTCAGTGTGATTTCTCCTTTCCCTGGCTGAATTTCGGCGCCCCGTTACGCGTCCTCGGGGGGGGGGTTGGAGCTGACGGGCAGCCAGTAACTAGGAATAGAAAATGCCCAATAGCTAATCACATTCTGCTGCAAAAAAAGAAAGCATAGTTCCTTGTTAAGAAAGCAAGAGGCAGAGTGCTTCCCCCCAAAAAAGGGAAAAATCCCCAAGAGTTAACACGCTGAGAATGAAGAGTGGCAGCTTTGCTTCTTCCCTTCATTGCTTGTTTGGGTTTGAAGTGCAGAGGAAAGGATGTGTGAGCCATGCTGGAGCAGTGTGCCTGCTGCATAGTATGGCAGTGAGCCATGCAGAGAATTTTATAACGTGTTTGTAATGTCTGTCTCCTTCTTAGATGGCACTGAGTTCTCTGAGATGCGCTATGGAAATGATGAGAATGACTTCTGAAGCTGTGAGCAGTGGCTGATGAGAGAAGCTAAAGAGAGGGACCTCAACATTGAACTGACTGGTAAAGTCAAGCCTTAGGGTTTATGTGCTCTTTGTTCTAACAAGCACGTCTGACCCTTAATTACTTTAAGGGACCGATTTTTTTATGTTGCACTAGACAAGGCAGGGAAGCTCTAGGACTTGGTATGCTTGCACTGATGCTTCTCTCAGACTGCTGTTGCTTTTCTGTGGCAGCATAACATCCTAGGCATAATCTGCTCATGAACCCCTGGAGGGCTGATGAAAAAGTTCAGTAATTATGGTGAAATATTTATGTATGTGTATGTGCTCCTACTTTGTATATCAACAGATACTGACCTCTGTTTACTTTTTACTTTATAGATATGGAATGATGGGGCATTTCATAGCAAATGGATGAAGGTATGTCTGTTTTCCTTCTTAAAAGTGAAATGTGCTTCTGAAGTTCCCTTGTTATCACTTGTGCTTTGCTTGTCTGATTTTTCTCTAGAGAAGAGACCTTCATCCTGTGACTACTTCCCTTCCTGACCTCTCATGGTAGCTGCAGGCATGAAGCACTAACAGGAACACAGGATCCTTAGTTTTGTTTTTTTTTTTCCTGAAGCTTTTATTTTTAGCTTCGTAAGTCAGTGTGTGCTAAGGAGGGCATTTTAAAGGAAGCTGCAGTTGAAGCGTATGAATTCATCTTCTTACTGGCTGGAAAACAGCTTATTTTGTAAGTCAGAGATCCAGAATTCCTTCAGATTCTCAAGTGAAGTTCCAGTGGATTTGATGCCCTTTAATTATTGATGTACAGCTCCAGGCTTTCATTACATGGTCTGATTTACTTTTTCCATAAAGTAAGAGCTCTGTATTTTAACTGTGCAAAAGTCAATACCTCATTTAGAACATGAGTTGGAAAGAGACAGTATTTCACATCGGGTAACACTGTGCTGTCACTGTTTCCTTCCCTGCACACCCCTCTTTGGAAGCTCACTTCTCTTTATGTTATGCTGAAGTGGAATCTTAATATAAGTTCTACTATATTTATTATTCATGTCCTTGCTGCTGCTTTGAGGCTAAGAAGGAAATGCATTTCTTCTCAAAAGAAGGTAGGGTTGAGTGTGAAGAAAACTGCTGATTCTTTTTTTCCTCTGCACGCACAACTTTGCAGAAATTGCGTCCCTTCTGCTTAAAATCATTCAATCAGCAGCTATTAGAAAAGTTCTTCTAGTTTTTGTATGTTGTACAAGGTCAGTTATGTTATTTGTCCGTGGCAGCATCTGCAGCTATTTCATTCAGTGATTGGTTTTAGCAGAATAATACAGAAAATGGTGCACAACAGTTAAATGCGATGTGATGTTAGAAGGGAAAAACCCTTGGTAACTTCAGTGTTCTTCACAGGGTTAGCATAGATAACATTCTGCCTGCTCCTGAAAAGTGGAGCTGAAACACTTTATCCTCGTTTATATGTAAGATGTGTGATACACTTGTAGTCTGTTAAACTGATCTATGGTCAGAGTTTATAGCAGGACAGGTAAGCAGGAATTTTATAGAGAAACTTCCTTAGGCATTGAGCTGATAAACTTTGATGACCTGGAAGAGGCTCTCTGAGAAATAGCGATTATAATGCTGGTGTTGCATAACTAATTTTTCTATGGTTGTTTAATTCCTGATTTGCCTACAATGGGCAGGACTTGCACCTCAGCAAGTTTATAGTGTGTTAGGAAACATGCATTACATATTGTAATTACATAGACACGTTTTACGTACGGACTTGCGTTACTCACTTCCACCACTCTGTTTTCAGAGAAACTGGTGAGATCCAGAAGCTCACTGCGGCTTTGATTACTACTTCATCTCAGCACACACAGCGTAGTTTACTCAGCCAGGCTGGTCGTACTTGTGAGTGGACGGACGCTTAAAGGAGGTGGAAGCTCTGCAGCTCTCACAGATGGCCCAGGAAACCTTACTGTCATAATCAAAGCTATGTAACGTACATCAACAAAAATAAACAAAGGCAATGTGCTGTTACAAAGAGCCAGCTTTGGTTTATGCCACATCTGTGAATGTCCTGTACGGTGCTTTTGTGGCTGTGTTACCAAGACCACCAGAAGTTTGTTTTTCTACCTAAACTCTTACATGAACTTTGGCTGCCGCCGCCGCCGCCTGTTATGTGCACGCCCCGCCCCTTCTTCCGGGAGAGTCTCGTCCCTCCCTTCGTCTCTGCGGAGCCAATTGGCTGCCCTGGCTGTCACTTAAAGCTTGGGCGGAGGGGCGATTGGTCGAACGGGGTCACGCGGGGTGCCCGCTCCGAGAGAGGGCGAGTCCGGATAACGGGCGCGCGGAGGCGTGACGTCATCCGACGCGACGCGCAGCGGCCGGGGCGAGCGTCACGTGACCCGGAGAATCGGCGGTATGGGGCCGAGGAAACGCGGGTCCTCGCGGGGCTGGGCGGTGGGTCTGGCGCGTTACTGGGGCGCGGGGGGCCACGTAGGGCTGGGAGGGCGTCATCCCGGAGCTGCGGGTGCCGGGACGCGCTCTGGGGGCCCCGTGGGGCTGGCAACGGGGTGGGGAAGCGGGGGTCTCGCGAGGCCCGGGGGGGGGGCGCGGGCCCGTTATGCGGGGTATTGCCCTGGGACTCGGGAGAAGGGGCGGCGGTTTCCGTGCCTGATGGGGCCGTTCTTCCCCCTCCTCCCTTTTGTTCCCCTCTCGCAGACCGTGGCTGCCCCTCTTTCCCCCACGCTGGTGCCGGGCGAGGCCTCGGAGAGCGACTCAGAGCCGGAGCCGGGGGGGAGCGCGACCGGGACCCTCGCAGCCGGGCTGAAGGTTCCGGGGGAGGCGTCGGAGACCGAGGAGGAGGAGGAGGAGGAGGACAGTGCGGCCCGAGTGCCGCTGCCAGGGGTGTCCCGGGAGAGCCCCTCACTGCTGCAGCAGCGCCTGGGGGCGGGCGAGGGGCGGCTGCGGGGCGCGATGGCTGAGGCGCTGGGACGCAGTTTCAATGGGGCTGCGCGGCTGCTGGAAGGCCTGGGGGGGCCCCTGGGCCGAGCCCGAGCTGGGGCAGCTGCCACCGCGCACTGCCTGTGCCTGGTGCGCCGTGACCTGCGCGCCGTGGCTGCCGCCGTGGCCACCGTCACCGCCTGCCAGCTGCTGCCCGACATCCGCGTGGAGCCGTGAGAGTGGGAACGCCAGCGGGACGGTGCTGGCAGCCGCGGGGAGCTCCTGGCGTCGTTGTTGCAGCGTCGCTGTCGCTGACCTCCAGCTCCTCCCGACGGACTTGGGGGTTGTGGTTGTCGCTGATGGCGTTCTCGCTGTCGCTGCGTTTCCAGTGTTGTGTCCCCTTGAGCTGATGCTGCCATCGGCAGTGCTGCCACTGATCATTCAGTGTTAGGGGAGAGGTTTTGTGAAGGGCACAGTGGTATGGGATTCCTTTCATAAAGATTCTGGACCTTGGTTCCCTGTCCATATCCAAACTAGAATGATAAACAGTATTAGAGATTCATCTTTTGAGGAAGAACCTCTGAGCACTTGTAACTGGCAGTGCTTTGATATTCTAGATAACCCATTCCATAAGGAGTGCTAGGTGATGCTGACTGATAGCATCAATTGTGAGCATCCTCTATAGAAAGTTTCCCTCTGTGGGAGTGAGGAAACAAAACGTGGTGGGGTTATTATGGGGTTACTAGAGTCTAGGATTCTAGAGTCAGAGGATTGTATGAGGATGCTATGAGGATGCTAGCTCCTGTGAGTGCAAGTTCTGTTATTTCAGATCCTGTGATTGTTTCCCAATTCCAGATTCTTTGATTCTGTGATGATTCTGGGCTTCAAATGTGTGGTGATTTTGATCCTCACTAAGAGTATGGACTCCCAGATTTGTAGCTTTGCAATATGATACATTTCCATATCCACCCCGTGCATAGCATGTGGCATAGTTCTGAGTGCCTGACACAAACCAAGCAAAATCAATTTGTGTAGGTCATTAAAAAATAATAATAATAAAAATAAAATCTTTGCTGTTGTTTCTTCTCCCTGTTCCATTTATTTATGTTCTGCCTTACTTCATATGTAACAGATAATACCTTTTTCCCCTTTCATCCCTTGATGGGTCCTGTTGGTCCCTTGTTTCTCAATCATAATGAGCTCTCTGCCATTCATGTGAGAATTTGGGAGTGGCTTTCACTCCATGAATCTTATAATACAGTCCCTAGTTGCTATCATGCAGACTTCACCAGATTTATAACAGATACAGCTACAATACACACTCCTAAGGGGGAAGCAGGAACATATTTATTGATGAGCATAGATATGCTGTAGCAGATGTAACAGTGACTTCACAAGACTGGAGATGGCTGGATGCCCTTGGTTATTTTCCACATAGAGGACAGGGTTACACGCACACCTACAGGACGCTCTCCTGTGTCATGAGGATCAGAGCCAACCCCATGGCTGTGTGCACTCTTCAAACCACAGAGGTAAGGTTCCTCAGCACAGCTGGATCCACTCCTAGTCCCAGATACGTTCAGGAGTTTGTGTCTCAGGAATCCTATGTGCACAAAGCTCTAACATATAATCTGTACAATGGACTAACTGCATGGGAGGAGGCAGTTTATCATCATGCAGATGTTCAGCCACTGTTCTGTGGCAAATGGTTGGACTGTGCAGCCATCCCTGCGGCAATCTACAGAAAGTATCTTGTCACCCCTGCCACGTTCCTCTGTTCCTCTGCAATTGGGATAGTGGGAAATGCATCAGCTCAATCAATTACAACATACCCGCTTCTGGGATGTTTCTGAACTTCTTTTACAGGAATGGTTCCCTGCTACAGCCGCTGTAGAGGCGGGCTGTGCTTATTTAATTCCCTCCACGACCCATCACTTTTTGACAGGCCGTATTGGGTTGTTCCAAGCTGTAGTAGTTGACTTAAAACTCCTGCATCCAAAAAATCATTAATTGTCCTTGATACCTCTTCATGCTCCCCCAGGCCCTGTACTGTTTCACTGTCACTGCTTCAGTTGCAGCAGGAATCTGCGCAGCAGGCATTGCTACTTTTCCCACTGAAATTGTCGGAGCACGAATGCAATTCTTTATCCCAAACTGGGGCTGACCGCTGGGAAGATTCAAGGTGAGTCCTTTTGGAATACCTGTCCCTGTGATGTACTCTGGGACAGGGACAACCGTGACAGGATACAATTTCAGGAGGTTTCCTATTTTCATTTCTGTTTGTGTTTTCACAGCTTGCATTTGTTTCCCTCCCAGCCCTATTACTGGCTGTCCTGCAGATTTCTCGGGGTTCCCATAATACTAAGGAACCTCTGCTCCGGGGTCGTCTGAGGCTCTGCAGTTTGTGAGGACCAGTTTTTCCAAAATATCTCCTTCCAAGGATACAAATTGGAATATGGTTCCCAATCCTCCCCCACAACAGCTGACCCTCTCGCATCGGGTGCCCTGCAAATAGCTAAGAGGTCCCATGGAGTGCAGTAGGTGGAATTGTTCCCGGGTGTTTTGCTTTAGAATTTGGCACCTTCTTGCTAGGGTTTATTTAACCCTCTGTGTTTATGTATCCTCTGTAATTCAGGAAGTGGAAAACCATCAGTCTTATCATGAGAAATCCTGTCTCTTAAGAAAGCTGTAAACAATTCTTTTCAAGGAATCCTATTTTCGCTGCCTTTCTGCTCTTCCCTCTTGTCCATTCTCCCCTGCCATCTCCTTCCTTCCCCTCCCCCATTGGCTCTGCTCCTCTTACCTTTGTCCTTTCTGCAGTTCTGCCCTCTTTGTCTTCCCCTCTCATTCATCACACTTCTGTTCTTCTGCCTTACAATTTCCTTTCAGCTTTGTGGTGGGCTGCCAGGAGATTCTGTCAGAGGCCTGGAGCAGGGACAGCACAGGGACAGGGGAGGGAAGGGGACAGGAGAGGGACAGGCAGAGACAGGGGCAGGACAGGGAAAAGTCTAGGGTAGACAAGGGATAGGGACGGGGCAGGAGATGGGCAGGAAAGCAGAGGGGCAGGGGCAGTGACAGGATAAGGAAAAGGATGAGGATGGGAGGAAGTAGTAGGGTAGGGATAGGGACAGGACCAGAAGATGGGCAAGGAGATGTGGAGGATCAGGGGCAGGACAGGAACAGGGATGGGCTGAACAGGGAATGGGGGCACAGCAGGGCCTGGTCAGGACTACGTCAGAGGCAGGAAGGGACTCGAAAGGGGCAGGAATGGAGAAAGGCACTGCTGGGACTGCTGCCACTTTGTGGTGGTGAGGATGAAGGGATGCCTGTTGTACTTCCTGGGTGGGGAGAAGTAGAAGATCATGGGGATTTCTTGCTTTTTATTTATTTTCTCCAAGCAGCTTATTAATTGCTATGAGCAGTGACTTTGGTTAATGCTCTGATTGGGTAATGGCAGCTCCATTAGAAGATTGCAGGTTTGCAGGGGAATTTTCCACCAAGGAGGGATCTCCAGGCAGAGATCCTTCTCCTGTGGCAGTCAGCCCTGAAATGGGGCCTAAGGGAGGTGCAGCCAGGCTCCAGCCCTTCCTGTTGCACAGCTGAATTGCCTTCACCTGTGCTCCCAATGCTGACGTGGTCCTTTCCACAGGTGCTCAGTGGTTCAGGCTCAACAGTTCCCATGCAGAGTCCTTCACAGGTCGCAGTGCAGGAACCTGCTTGGATGTGGCTCTTTAGGGGCTGCCAGGGGCAACCCTGGTCTTCTTTAAAGCTTGCAGGAGCAGCTCTGCTCTGACACCTGGAGCACCTTCTTCCTCTACTTCTTCACTGACCTTGGTGGCTGCAGTGTTCTTTCTTTCACATTATTCCTCCTCCTCTCTCACAATTGCTGCACTGCTTCAGAAATAACTTTGATTTACAACTCCAGACTTGGCAAGGGCAAACAGTAGCCTTGACAGGAAAATGAGTGCTATATTTTCAGTTCTGAAATAACCAGCTTAGGGATGTTTAAAACTGGCTGCAGGAGCTGACAGCACCGAGGGTGCTCCATGTTAATGCCTGCATATTGAAAGCTGGAGCTGGCAATGCAAGTGCTGAAATACAGGAAGGGCCATTTAAAGAAAAATCTCCTGAATTCTGCCATCCTTGCTAAGTCCCACAGCTAAACATCATGCAGAACAACATCTTCTTGAAACTGAACATTTTTTGTTCATTAATGTTTTTCTTTCTATCCTGAGATATATTAGTAGTGAACATTGGCAAAGAAGTTACCCAATACATTCCACCTGGATATAAACGCTCACTTGTGTGGTAAATCAGTGCCTAGAAACCTGCAACGACTGCTCCTTATCCACGTTCACTGGATTTTCTTCCTGGTAAATGGGTGAGTATTTTTACCTATAATGGCACCAAGTGTTGAACACTCATCTTTAATTTAGCATCAGAGATGGTTTTTCTGCTTCTGTAAATGACCACTCACTCAAAAAATAACAGCTGTTTCTCAAGCACAACTGCCTTACTCCATGGGCTCAATGCTGAACACTTCTGACACCTTGGGACCTTCTTTCCTGAGGCCAACCCAATTTAATTCACAAAAAACGTACGTGAGGAGAAAAACAAAACAGTTTTGGTAAAACAGAGGCTTTTAGCAACCTCCTTTCAGCAGTCAAGAAGTAGCAAGGATCCAATCCCCATTTTTTAATTGATGCTGATACCAACGTGCCTCAAGTCTGTACAATCTCAAACAAAATCCTCTGGGGAAGTTCAGTGGGTTCCCTGAGCACTGCTGCCTTTGTGAGCCCTGACTGCCTTCCAGCTCCCAGTGCCCTTTGTGCATTTCCCCCCTCTCTGCCTCCTGATGCCATGCGAGCTGCTGCTGTCCCTCACAGCATGGCCTCTGCTCCCTTCTCTCACTGCTCTGTGTCCCATCAGGCAGTGACCATCCTTGTCCCAGCCTTTCCTGCACACAAGCAGTGAGTTTTTTCCACTTCCTATGATGCAAATTATTAGAATCACCGATTTGGATTGGAAGGGACATTGAAGAACGGCTCCAAACCTCATACAATGGGCGAGACACCTGCCATTAGTTCACGTTACTGAAGTGGCCATTAAGAAGTCTATAGTTGTTTGATTTTATGATCTAAGAATACAGACCCTGGGCAGGAAGTGTTCTGGTGCACTGTGTTCCATGAAATACAGAATATTACACTGTTATAATTCTGCAGGGCTCAGTATTACAGGTTTGTTTTTAGAAAATTATCCCTCCCCCCCCCCTCAAAAAAAAAAAAAAAAAAAAAAAAAAAAGTTCAAAGAAATAGAGAAAGATTGTTTTCCTTTATTTAAAAGTACTGATCATAGGGGAATGTTGTGCTGGCTTTCTCTGAAAGAAAATGGATATAAAATCAGGGTGGAATGCAGTTCCTCAAAGGACTGGTGTGACTGTAGCCAGGGAGGCGTTGCTGGTGAAGATAGAGGCAAAGCAGCCATGAGGTACATCAGCCCTCTCTGCTCCTGTGCTTATTAACACAACAGTAGCCCTGCACCATCCCTGTCTACTCTTTTACTTGTAAGGAACTCTATCAGCTGGAGCCTTCACACTTCTCTGCAAGTATCAGGTCCATGTCAGGTGAAAGCAGCCAAAGCTGACCCTGACTATCACAGCCCTGACCAGCTCCCTGTCGGCCATGTGAGACCCAGCTGAGCAGCACCTGTATTTCCCCCCAGCAGCTGTGTGAAGAAGTTGGCTGAACTCCATGGCCTGTTGTTCTGCTCGGCCAGAGAATGCCAGGGCAATTGTAGCTCCCATAGGCAGCTGCTCATTGATCTGCAGACACCTCAGATTGCTGACAAAAGACTTCTGCCTGCTCTCCTTGATCAAAGCAGTTGGTAAGCAGCCTGATCAAGACCACACAACAGTTAATGATGTTATCCTATAATAGCTCAAGTGACCAAAATGAGAGAATCTTTTCCATGGTGTACTGCATGTGAGTCATAGGCTCTTTCACATCTGGACATCTAAGGATACAATTTGCAAAGGAATCCCTCGTTTTATCTCCATCTATCACTAGCTGTATCCAATAAAGTCCTGCAAGAAGACACAAAAGCTGGGACAAGCTTGCTGATAACTGCTGAGGACACGTGGGAATGTCCATGACACAACAGCCACTGCAGTCAAGGAAGATCTAGAAAACAGGCGATGAAGCAGAAGAGAAAGAAATAAGCTTAGTCATGCTCCTGTGGCACACGACTCCATTTGTTCGGGTAAATCCCTTTATAGGCTGCCCTCATGATGCACAGCAGGGACAGCTTCAGTTGTCCCAGATGTGGGTACCTACTGACAGTGCAGGTGTTGGACAAAGGAATGTCCTTCCTCGCTCTGGGAGTAACATCCTACATTTCACCAGATATTTGCATCTGAACAGCTCCTTCCTATCCTTAATCTCCACGTGTGAGCATTAGTGGCTCACTAATTAGCAGTAGTGAGGTATCTCACAGGGAGGTGTGTATGTTGTGGTCATCTGATCTGAGGCAAGAGGATCTGAGGGGGGTAATGGGAGGGGGGGGGGAAGAAGATGAGAATGGGGGAATAAGGAGGGGAGGGATGAGGTGAGGGTGGGGAAGGGACCCTGGGGGTAAAAATGGAGAACTGGAGGGGAAGCGGGGGGGGGAGGAGTGTCGAAAAGGAATGAGGGAACTGGAGTTGGGGGAGGCTCTAAAGGTCAGTGTTGGGGAGGATCGGGGGCAGAGTGTGACCCTGGGGGTCAGAAAGAGGGACTGGCCGAACCGTGGACGGGAACGAGGCAGCGATGTACCCTGGATTGGGAGGGTGGGGGACACAGCGCACCTCCCCACACCGAGCAGAGGCCCTGAGCACCACAGAGGCCCCACGGGGCCAACGCAGAGCGGCCCCAGCCCCGGTGCCCCCCCGAACACCCACTTGTAGAAGCTGAAGCGACGTTCGGAGCCCGGGGCTGCCATGCGGCGCGGCCCCGCACGACTTCAGCTCATCCGCCTCGGTCTCGCGGCGCGGAGTGATGACGTCACAGCGCTGCGCCGCACCACTTCCGCACGGCCGCTTCCGTCTCGCGGCGCATGGTGATGACGTCACACGACCCCGCGCATCTCGCCCCAGTCAGCCCCGCAGCTCCTCCCTCGCCAGGCCCCAACGCGCCGCTCCAGTAACCGCCCTCAGCGCGGGCAGAAAGTAACCGACCTTTTATTCTCATTATTGCTACTAAAAATCTCTGCTGTCTTTTACGAATTGCCGTGAATTTCTACTCGGCACACGCAGGTGCGTTCTGCGTTTCCTCAGTTGCTCCGCGCATCCAATCTGAGACGGCCGAAGGCTTTGCGGGGCTCCTCCTGCTGATACAAAGCGGAAAGCGCCGCGGCACATCCGCACGGCTCCCTTTGCCAGCGGCAGAACCCTGACTTGCTCTGCTCCGCTCCCTGGGCTGCCGTGGGACGCCAGAACGGCGCTGCTGATGGAGGAAGGCAGCTGCACTCCTCCCTCCCGCCAGCAGTCGTCCCTCCACACCCGCAGGAGGACGGTTTCCCTCCCAGCAGCCTGCCTCACGCACTGGCCATACATGCACGTGGAAGGTGTGGGCGATCTCTCCGTCCACATCGTAAACAAACAACCCCAGGAGAGTTTCACCTTCGTCCTCATCCGCTCCCTCAAAGACAAGAGATGATGGCGGTCACACTTAGACAGGCCGTACAAAAAAGAACATACCGAGGCCGAAGGTGGGAGCCCCTCCTCCCCCACATCAGCTCTGGCAGGATTGGAGCACAAAGGAGGGTGAGCCTGAGTCACGGCATGTGGAGCAATTGCTCCCAGCTGCTCGGCCATGAAGAGCAGCAGAGGGGTCTTATGGGGCTCTGTGGCAAAGCTTTTCCTCGGGGCTTTCCTCCAGAAGAGGCAGTGGGCAGAGACTTACTGAGACAGAAAAGTCTTTGGGGGCACTGCTGACTTCCCCAGAGGGAGAAACTGCCTTGGAGATGTGCCAGACAGCGAAAGCCATGGGCTGGAGATGCTGATTCTGAAGGTACTTGTGCTGGAGCTTGAATTTCAGCCTGCAGATAGCTGGCTGTGATGGTTGGTGATGCTCACTACACAAGGTGTGAGGGCCTTGCAGAGGAGCTGAGGAGGCATCAGAGGGTCAGCATCCTCCAGTTCTTGGGAGGTCCCAAATGTTCTTGGGCAACAGAGGGGGTGACAGTGGATGTGGGGGCTGGGAGCAGCAGACTTTGCCTGAGCTCAGGATTGGAGTAGCTCAGTTCCCGATGAGAGCACATCACATGCGTTCCTGCTGTCCTGCTTTCTTTCTAAAGGAACTGACCAGGAAACTGAGCAGGATGCACTGCAGGAAGGCAGCTAGTCCCACAGTGTCCCACACTGCCAGTCTCAGACAGTAGAACGCAGGCAGGGCCAACAACTGGCATGCCAGGTAATTTCTGTGCTGCGCTCATCCAGCTTCACTCACCTGAGTCACTGTGTACCTGCAGGCTCTTGCTGCCTGCCCTTGCACACTGGTCAGCAGCCAAACCTGAGCGTGTGGGCACAGTGCACGTGTAAAAGAAGCCAGAGATGGCTCTCTGAAAATGGGGTATGGAGAGTTGTTCCAGCGCCGTGCAGAGAAGGTACTTGCAGACCTCTGTGATGCTGCTCAGCTCCCACCACTTGCAGTTCCCAGAGAGTTGTGAGCTTTGCCCTTATGCAACAAAGCCACCTGGGGGTGATGAACGGGGTCCTGTGTGGTAGGAGCCTGCAGGAGTGTTTCTCCCCTGGTCTGGCTCTGGCTGTGCCCTGTGCTGGCTGGTTTCTCTCCCTGGTTGTAGGGAGAGCTGACAAATGGCACAAGAGGACTGGTCCCTTCCAGTTTGGTTGCAGAGGTTTCAGATGATGAACTGGATACACCTCAAGATGCTGTGGGAATTCCTGCATTACTCCATCTGCAAGACTACCCCCTGCTCCCCTTGATGTTCAAGTGGAGTGTGTGCAGGATGTGGATGAGCTCCTACAAAACAAAACAAAAAAACAACCAATTAAACACCCACAATAAAACAATCAATCAAACAAAATCCCTAGGCTGTTCTTTTTCTTGGATAAAGGGCTGTTTACAAGGGCGGATAGAAATAGGACATGGGGGAGCGGTTTTAAACTGAGACAGGGGAGGATTAAGCTAGATATTAGGAGCAGTTATTTCACACAGAGTTGGTGAAGCACTGGAACAGGCTGCCCAAGGAGGTTGTGGATGCCCAATCTCCAGAAGCATTCAAGGCCAGGCTGGATGTGGCTCTGGGCAGCCTGGACTAGTGGTAGCCTGGTTGGTCACTGTACACATAGCAGGGGGGTTGATACTAGATGATCACTGTGGTCCTTTTCAGCCCAGGTCTTTTATATGATTATATGATGGTATCAGACGTCAGGGAAGTAATGTGAAAGAAACAAGCCTTTGAAAATGAGCTCTGCCCCTCATACACCTGATAATTGCATCCCATGCTTGGCAAACGACCTTTCTGTGGGGTGTAGACCAGGAAAGCAGAGGAGGAGAATAAAGCAGCTGTTTTTTCCCAGAGCTTTCATTTCACTGAGGTCTGGCCCTATTTTCTGAAACTAAGAGACAACATGTGAAAGAAGAGCAGGGAAAGGTTTTGTTTTTGGTGTGCATTCCAGCCTGCTGCTTGCTGCTGGGAAAGGCGTGCTTGGCTTCAAGGGAGGATGCGTGGTGGAAAGCCAGCAGCTGGGAGGTCTGGGGTGCTCAGGATGCCCAGTGACAAAGGGCAACAGCCCAAGCAAGAGCTGGGATGATTTGTTTTTAAATTGCATCCAGTTCAGTCCTGTCCCATTGCATCTATCATATGTCTCCCCATTCCCTTTAGGGTCCCCTGAAAAGCTGTTCTCTGTTTTGCAGTTTTGTCTGATTTTCTCATCTCCTCAGGGCCTTGCAGTGTTGAGAGGAAGGTTTTCCCTCTCTCCTTTCCCTCTGCAAAATCATTTTAATTGCTGAGTGCCCCCTCATGTCGGGCACACACCATGTTCAGTTGCATCAAGAGTTAGAAAACGACTCCTTTTTTCCTCTCTTCCTGATCACTCTGTTTTCACTCTGCTTTGGGTAAAGTCCTTCTGTTGCAGATGTGACTCCTTGCAGAGCAGTGACTGCAGTGCCCAGGCAGCAGGAACAGAAGCATTTCAGGTGCCAGAATGGTTATCTTTCCTCGTTGTGGTGGAATGGGGTACACAGAGAAGGAGGACTTCCATTCTCAGTGTGGATGTGCATCTGGGAAGGCACGCAGGGCAGGCTCTGTCTTGGCCAGTTCAGCCAGCAGCTGCAACCAGCTGGCAGAAAGCAACGCCCTCTGTGGTATGTGCACACCAAACAGTTGCTGGATTGAATATTTCAGGTCCTGTCTACAGCGTTACTGATGGGGTTTCATTTGCCAGTGAGTTTCCCGCACACAAACACGCACTCCCTGGCAATGAGCTGAAGACCTTCCATTCCATCAGATGAGCCACGCGTCACTTCCTCCTCCCAGCTGCTGATGCCTTCTCCACCTGGATGGCTTTATAACACGTCTCCCCTGCCTCAGCTCTACATGTCACTCTTGCAGACAGCATGCTGTTGCTTCCCTTACTCGTTGTGACTTCACTTTGGTCCCGTAAGTGCCGTTTCCTTTCTCCTCTCCCTCCTGTGCATGGAGAACACAGTCCCTGCTCCAGAGCTTGGTGGCTCCTGGCCTACGTGCAGTTTCTCCCTGTTCCCTTGCAGGTGGGGATGCACAGGCTGCACCGGTGCAAAGCCCAGCAGAGCGCAGGCTGGTGGAGGGCAGCTCAGTCACCATGACGTGCCAGCTGAGCAGTGAAACCACTGTGCACTGGTACAGGCAGCTTCCCGGGGAGCCACCCAAGAGGATACTGTACATGTCTGGATCCTCACCTACCTTCGATGACAACAAGGACAGATTTAAATTTCAAGCACAGAAAAGTTCTTCCAGCAGTGTTCTGACAATAGAGAAAGCAACCCGGAGGGATACCGGTACTTATCTCTGTGCATATTGGTATTACCAAGGCTACACAGCATTAGATGGGCAAAGATAAGCTGTACAAAAAGGCATCTGGCACTCTGAACCTCAAGCTCTCAACTCCTGCCAGATGCAGATTCTTTTTATGCCACCTTTCTCTGGTGATTTTCTGCAGCAGAAGAGCAAAAGCAGAAGATTAACATGGCAAATGCTAAATGAATTATCTTAACTAACTCTCAGAATACTTCTTCTGTACTTACACATAGCTGTAACATGCAGAAACTGAACAGTCTTTGTCACTTAAGGATAAAAACCGGTGACTTTGCAGATATGGCAAAGAACTGACTGTACTCAGAGCACTCAGCTGACAGTGGGCGCAGACTGTGTGCCTGTGGACAACGAGTAGTTGGAAATTGCCCTTCTTCATTGAAAGCTGTACAGCAAACAGAGAAACATATCTCTATCTCCTGCAGGCTCTCACTTGAACGGAGGCACACAAGTGAAGCAATGAGAGAAAGCTACATGGTCTTCCAGATCCTCCTTCATTCTTTCTCTGCTGTCATTTCAGGTACCACCAACTCCTCCTGCAGCACCGACGGCTCAATTTCACTGTGTCAAGTTCTCACCTGATGCATCCAGACAGAACTTCACTCTTCTTCCGTGGGCCTGCTCTCCAAGGAGCCCTTTGAGCACAGTGCACGGAGTTCTAAGAATTAGTCTATGGTCAAAGCCTCTTTTCACCATGCAGAGCAAAGCTGGCATTTGTGTGTCAGTTAGCTCCAGAACTGAGTACTGCATGTGATTAGAAGCCTGAGGCACAACATCCTGTGAGGTAGTGCACTGGAGAGACTGGACCTTCAGCCACACAGAGATTGCCGTAGTGGTGGTTTTGCAAGGCTCTGAACGCTGCTCGTGCTGAATGTGCCCTCGTGCTTTCAGTCCTTGCAGGGAGCAGCGGTTCTGTGCATTTCTCTGAAAAGCAGGCAGGACCCCCATCTTCTCAACAGCCTCAGCATTCTCTGCTCTTGCTCCTTTCCCAGGCTGCTGCAGCTTCTTGACAAGCACAGCCCCGTGTTGTTATGCACAGAACAAACACTGCTGGTGACTTCTCCTCCCACTCAGTGTGTCCCCATCTGGGGCCCCACATCTCTCAGTCTCCACAGCAGCAGAGCAGGAGCAGCAGCCATGCTGCTGCTGGCAGCTCTGATGGTTGCAACTGCCTGGTCTTGTAAGTGCTTCAGCTTCTTTTTCCTCACGGGCACCCACGGGTGGCATAACAGATATCTTCCCAAGTGGAATGTTGCCACTGAATAACATCATTACTTCTCACTTTTACCTTTCTTTTTCTTGTTTCCTTTTCTTTTTCTCTTCTCCCCCCCCCTCAAACTTCCATCACCACAGACTCCCACTGGGTGCTGTCTCCAGCCAAGGCCCCATTCATTCAGCTCCTCCACAGCAGCAAAGTGGAAGCAACAAACATGCTGCTGCTGGCAGCTCTTACGACCACAACCACTTGGTCTTGTACATTCTGCTTTCTTAAGTTTAGCTCAAAGATATCTTTCCAAATCCCTGATGGTCACTGAATAACAATTTCTCCTCTTTTTTTTCTCATTTCCTAGATGAATTTGCATGGAAAGTTCCCATTCAGAGCCCTCTATCCATCACCAAGTCACAAGGCAGTATACGTCTGCAGTGTCGTTTTGGAGACTTGTTTGAACATTTTGATAGCACCGTCATACACTGGTATCAACAAAAGGAGAATAAACCTCCAGAGAGGCTACTCTTCTTTGCAGAAGGGAAAACTACAATTGAAAGTGGCTTTCAAGGGAACAAGTACATGGTTGATGAAGTTTCTAGTCAGAAACTGTCCATTCTTACGATAAACGATGTAAGTCCAGATGATGCTGCTACTTACTACTGTGCCTACTGGGACCCACACCGTGATAGATGCTCAGAGACCATCAAGCCACAAAACTCCTTCAACCACTCAACTTCAGCTTCAGTCTGAACCACAGGACTGTTACTGCCTCATTCCCCAGCCTTCTCACTCCATCTGCTATCAGCTGCTACCCAGAGCAAACACTGCACAGATGCAGAGAATCACAAACAGTAAAGGGCTGGAAGGGACCTCTGCAGCTCATCCAGTCCATCCTCCCTGCTAAGGCAGATTCCTTAGAGCAGGTGACTCAGGAAAGTGTCCAAGAAGGTCCTGCATGTCACTAGAGGGCATTCCTCACCCTCTCTGGGCAGCCAGTTCCTTTGCTTTGTCATCCTCAAAGAAAAGAAGTTTTCTCTCAAGTTGAGATGGAACCACCTGTGTTTCAGTTTGTAACACATCTTTCCCCTTGTCCTGTTGCTGGGCAACACCCAAAGGAGCCTGGCCCATCCATTGGACTCCTGCCCTTCAGATCTTTACAAGCGTTGATAAGATCCCTTCTCAGTCTCCTCCAGGCAGAACAGCCCCAGGTCTTTCAGCCTTTCCTCATAAGGCAGAGGCTCCATTCCCCTAATCACCTCTGTGGCCCACCGCTGGATTCTCTAGAAGTTCCCTGCTTTTCTGGAACCGAGAAGCCCAGAAGAGAAGGCAGCACTCCAGACGTGGGGTCACCAGGGCAGAGCAGAAAGCGAGGATCACCTCCCTCAACCTGCTGGCCACGCTATTCTCAACCAACCCCAGGATCCCATTGGCCTTCTGGGCCACAGGGCCACACTTGGCCGTGCGGGCTCATGGTCAACCTGCTGTCCTGCAGGACCCGGGGCTCCTTCTCCATGGAGCTCCTTTCCAGCATGTCAATCACAAACCCATCCTGATGCATGTGGTTGGTGCCCGCTCCTTCTGAAGCCGGTGCCACTATCAGCACTCCAGTCTTCAAACACACATCCCCCCTTTCTAAGGGAAAACTCTTCACCGCCTTAAGGATTAACACATCCCCAAAGGAGTCAGCTCCTCCTCCCATGCAACACAGCTCCTTGTACTGGCGACAATTTCCTGTTCTCAGTCTCAACAGCAGCCGAGAAGGACAAGCAACCATGCTGCTGCTGGCAGCCCTTGTGGCCACAACCACTTGGTCTTGTTCGTACTTTTCCTTAAGCTTACTTTTCCTCTCAGGAACCTGTGGATGAGCTAAAAAGTATTATCCCAAATCCACAACCAACACTAAACAACATAATTTCTCCTCTCTTTTTTTTTTTCCATTTCTTCGTAGGTGGGCTGGTGTGGGAAATTCCAATACAGAGCCCTGTATCCATCACCAAGTCACGAGGAAGCATACGCCTGCAATGCCATTTTAAGGAGTTCTCTGGACATTTTGATAAGACTGCCATACACTGGTATCAACAGAAGGAGAATAAAACTCTGGTGAGGATCATCTACGTCACATCAGGAGCAACTGTAGTAGATGAGAGCTTCCAAAGGCACAGATACATGATTCAAACTATTTCTAGACAGAAACTTTGCATTCTTACCATAAGAAATGTACGTCTAGATGATGCTGCCAACTACTATTGTGCCTACTGGGTCCCACACTACAGCAGCAGCCCAACAATCACCTCAACCAAAACTCCTCCAGCAGCTCAACCACAAACCATTTGAAAGATCCCAGCTCACTTCCCCAGCATGGAGGAGTCTCCTGAACACGTGGGGGATTTCCTCACTGCTGACCAGCTCCTGCAGATGTCAGCTTCCAGAAGATAGGGATTTCAAGCAAGCCAAGGGTGCCAAGGCTGAAGCAAACAGTGGACGTCTAAAACATAACCCAACCTCAGCACCTCAGCTGCTCTTCCTTTTTCCTCAGGCATAGCCATGAACTGTTTGTAGTGGTTCAGCTTGGATACTAGGGAAAATTTCTTCTCGGCAGGAGTGGTGATGTGTTGGAACAGGCTGCTCAGGGGAGCGGCGGAGTCCCCATCCCTGGAAGCTTTCAACAAGAGGGTGGACGTGGCACTTAGGGACGTGGTTTGTCAACAGGGATGACACTTGCACTAGATGATCGTAGCAGTCTTTTCCAACCTTCATGATTCTATGATTGCTTCAGTACAAAGCAGTGCTTTTTCATGCTCCTGTTCCTGGTGATGACTGAAGATTTTCAGAGCCTTTTGCTTGAGAAGAAGACAAAGAGGTCTTTAGCTTGAAGGGTCCTAAGATTTTCAGTGCAGAAAAAAAGTCTTGATTTGATTCAGAAGATAGCAACTGAGGGAGAAGGAAGATTTGCTATTCATTCCTCTGGAGACCCGGAGATGGGTATTTTTCTCCTTTTTGGAGCTGTGTCAGTCTGTTTCGCCATCCTTGCTTTCACTTTGTTGTTCCTGTGATGACTGGGAGTGAAACACACATCTCAATCACTACAGAGGTGCGGATGCTGTGATGCCAAAGCGAGTCCCAACAAAAAGAGCTTTCCTCCTCTAAGAGCACCTTTCCATATTTACGCCTTTAAGCAATGCGTGCCTCTTAGCTTCTGATTCAGTGTTCATGTTGACCCTCATGGCTACGAAAATAACCCACAGAAGTCTTTCCTTATCATCAAGGCTTTCTTTAGTATTTTCCTTTACTGTGGTACAACTGAGACCCTGCACACTTTCATCTTTGAACTGCACCTCGTTGAAGAATGTGAGCCTGGTGGCTGAACAAGTGACACAATTTCATGGTGTCCAAACTGGCCATGGCCATTGCTGAATTTTGTCCTGCAATAATATAATAATACTGTAATAATACTTGCAAGCCAAAGACAGACAGACGAACTGGACAATCTTTCTGCAGCACACAGTGCTTTGCTTTCTGTGTTTCTGACTATGAGACCTCCCATCTACACACTGCTGTGGACACAATCCAGTCCCTACAAGAACAGCCAAGTTGGCAATGGCATCCTTCACAGCGTGACTCGGGACACAGCCATGGAAGAACTGGTCAGCTTCTTTCTCTGCCTATGTTACTGCTGGTATTGCATCACATTTTCCATAAAAATAATAGAATTTCTTATGTTGGAAAAGCAACAGAAGGTCATCAAGTCCACCCATCCATCTAGCACTACTAATTCCAGTACTAGTCCATGTCCCTCATGGCCTTTAACTCCCTCCAGAGATGGGGACTCCACCATTTATTTCACTGGGCAGCCTGTTCAACAAATCTGCAATTTAGAGTAGATGGCTGTTTCTCTTACATCTGCTTACACCATCCACAGTCTGGTTCCTCTCTGCAGACACAAAGCTTTTGTACTTTCTTAGTCCACATTGGTTTGTAGCCATTAGGGCACACAGTGTCCCAGAAGTATTCAGATTTTTCTTTGACATGTCAAGCTAAGCATGCAGGCTGCCTCACAGTACCTGGGTTTTCTCAGGTGTTTTCCTGTGCTGTGCTGAAGGGAACAAGCGTGCAAAGGAACAGCCTTCATCATCCTCTGCTGACACAGGAAAAGATGAGCCATAGCATCAGAGACTTTCACAGGAAAGGGGAGCTTTGCTGACAAGTCTTGATGGCTAACTGTAATCAGGGGCAGAGAAAGGCAGAGCTCCTGAAGTTGCTCAGTGGTACATAGATTTGGGTTTTCTGGGCAAAGCAGTCAGCAAGAGCAAGTTGCAGTTTCATCACGTGCTCGTTTTACAAAGCAAAGATTTAGGGACAAAAAATTGCTCTTTGTGTCCGAAGGTGGATATTGGTAAGACATGGAATAGCAAGAACTCCAGGTTTCCCCTGTGTTTGCCTGCACCTGCCAGACAGAGCAGGAAGGAAAACCTGAACGTGCACTGCAGCAGTCCAACTTCCTCCGAGCTCCTGGTGCCTGGATGCCCTGAAGCAGCACTGGGCAGGATCAAGGTCAGCACAGCACTCCTGCTCATCTTGCACTTCTTTGGACAGACAGAAATTGAACTTACATGTTTTCCCCCTTCTCACCACATGCATTTGTTTCCAACAGCACCAGGTTTTCACTACCAACTGTTTGGTCATTAAGGCAGGAAAAAGCAGCAAGAGCTTATGAAAATCTAATGGTTATGGAAGGCAAGCCCTTCATCAGAAATCGATCAGCTGTTGTCTTAATGCTCTTCTGGCAAGCCCTTTTCTCACACTTTGTGTTAGGAACATAACTCTTGCTGCTGGAGGGAGCTAGACCTCACTCTTGGGACTCCCCTGGGACTTGCAGACACCGCGAGCACTCAGTGCTTTGAGAGTACTCTGCACTGAGCTGGATGAAGCCACCCAAAGTCTGCTTTTCCTTGAGAAAACTCATTCCTAACAGGTGAGCGGTGCCACTTAAGGCTGTGAGATGCATGGAGCTAAGTTAAGCCACTCCGAGACTTGATGACTTCATCCCACACAAGAGGGAAACCTCAATACAGTTTTGTTTGTGTAGGAACAAACAACCCAGAACTGTTGGTAAAATGTGGTTGATCTGTTGAGTCTCCTAGCAACTCTGTCTTTTATGCAGAGGAAGCTGTGAGGAAGCAGAGACAAGCCAAGTTGAAAGAAAAGTGCCCAGGTGTAGATTGTCTCCAAGAATTTGAGCGTGCACAGAATCCCACAGAGTTGAAAAGAACGACTTGGCATGAGAAACTGCAATCAGATTATGGGGAGGGTCTTGGATAAATTCATAGTGCTGGGAAAATAATGGCTTGAGTAGCAGAGTCACCAACCAGCAGACCAGGCTGCCCAGAGCCACATCCAGCCTGGCCTTGGAAACCTCCACAGGTGGGGCATCCACAGCCTCCTTGGCCATCAGCATTTGTACAATCAGCAAATAAACAATGAACAGACTGGCATGGTTAACTTAGTAATTTACAGGTCATACAACCAGGAAGAAGGGGAAAGTCAGAAATAAATGAAAATGCTCACACGTGTCCCAGGCTCACAGAAAAATGCCAAAAAGAGCAATCTCCAGAAAAAGGTCGCTCCTCACCAGCAGTCAGCCCTCAAATGGGGTCTAGGAGAGGTGCAGCAAGGCTCAACCCCTCTGCTCACACAGCTGAACCGCCTTCACCTGGGCTCCTGTGCCTCACTCAGTGCTTGCCTCAGGTGATCAATCAGAGATTCAGGCAGTGACTCAACATTTCCCATACAGTGTTGCACTTTGGTTTTATAGAATCACAGAATCATAGAATGGCCTGGGATGAAAAGGACCACAATGACCAGCCAGTTTCAAATGCCCTGCTGTGTGCAGGTCACCAACCAGCAGCCCAGGCTGCTCAGAGCCACATCCAGCCTGGCCTTGAATGCCTGCAGGGATGGGGCATCCACAGCCTCCTTGGGCAACCTGTGCCAGTGCCTCACCAGCCTCTGGCTGAAAAGCTTCCTCCTCATATCCAACCTGAACCTCCCCTGTCTCACTTTAAAACATTCCCCTTGTCCAATCACCATCCGCCCTCATAAACAGCTCTTTCCCCCCTGTTTAGATGCTCCTTTCAAGTAATGGAAGGCAACAATGAAACTTGCCCAGAGCTTTCTCTTCTCCAGGCTGATCCAGCTGCCTCCTCCAGTAAGTTCTCTACACGGGATTGACAGAGCCTGTCCTCTCTGATGAGTCTCACAGAAAAACATCCTGGGCTGGCCCCAAGCAGGCAGACCCATCTGTACAGTGAGAAGTTGCAAAGGCACAGGAAGCGACCTATGACTGTGCTTACGGGCAGCCCACAGCCCTGCGGAAGCCCCAGCAGCCAGCACACTCCTTGGCTGCGCTCTCGCTGGGGCAGGGGCTGCAGCCCTCCCCTGCTGCCGCCCTGCTGCCTGTCTGGGCAGCTCAGCAGAGACAGGACGTGACAAACAGCACACGGGGCTGTGCGGCTGCTGTGGGCAGCCCTCCTGCGAGGGGGGGAAGGCAAAGGAAGCGGCGCTGGGAAGAGGCACGGTCCGGTTTAAGCGCAGCTGTCTGCTGGGGCTGCTGTTGTGGAAATGGCTGCAAATGCTTCCTGATCCTCTCGGCAGGTAGAGCAGCCTCATTGGCAATCACAGAAAGGAGTGGTTTCCACTGCTCGGATCTGCTGTGGGACCTCTCGAGTGTGAGACTGCGGCTGTCCACGCAGGGAAGCCCGAAGGAGAGCAGCAACCATGTGGCTGCTGACAGCTCTCATGCTGGCAGCTGGTTTCTCCTGTACGTGCCCTGCTCACCCCGCTGCCTGCGTGAACAGCGGGAACCTCTGCTGCTCCAGCTTTGGCTGCCCGGTTTCTCTCTCGTTTCCCCTCAGGTAGCTCTGCACAAGCCCTGCAGCAAAGTCCAGTGTCCATCACCAAGCCTGAAAACAAAACGGTGCTCATCACCTGCCGCATCTCCATCTCCAGCTTTGACAGAGTCTTCATTCACTGGTACCGCAGGAGGCCTGGGGCAGCTCCCAGGCGCATTGCCTACATGGCAACCAGGCTGTTCCTTGAGAATGAGTCCGATGAGGGGAAATTCAGCATCGAGAAGGACCTCGCCAAGTCCCAGTGCACCCTGACAGTGGGCAGACTCACTGCACAAGACGCTGCTACCTACTACTGTGCCAGATGGGATGCACAGCAGCAGAGAGCCATAGGGAACCTGCACAAAGACACTCTCTGCTTCCTGAACGAGACGTTACAATGCAGACAACTTGTGGGACCTTCCCTCTGCATCTTTATTCTAGGCACATCCTATGTGGGCTCTAAAACGGTTGCGTTTCTCGTACCGTTTGGCCCAGCCTAGAAGGTGCCTCTGTTGTGCTGCTTTCTCACAGCATCACCTGCTGGCTGCGCAGGGCCCCTCTCTGGGCGGCCGCCAGTGAGTCACATCCTGCCCTCAGGCACAGCCCCTGTCCCTGCCACAGAGCTGGGGGCTTTCTGCGGGGCACAGCACGCAGGCACCACGAGAAGAATGCTGCTGCTGCTGCTGCTGCCACTTCTGGCCCTGGCTGAAGCCTGGTTGCATCCATTCCCCTCCCCGTGGCGGCTCCACTTGCAGCAGCAGCAGGCTGTCCTGCGTACACCTGCGGGCAGCAGGCTGGCAGTGCTTGCTGCCTTTTCTCTCCTTCTGATACACGGACATGCACAAGTGCTGCTGCAACAGAGTCCACCATCTGTTACCAGAAAGAGATCCAGAACTGTGAATATTGAGTGCGAAGCTGAGGGCATAGATGACTTCCAGGCTGCCTACATCCACTGGTACCGACAACTGCCTGCCAGAGCTCCTGAATGGCTCCTTTTTGTGACAGCAAAATCACAAGTTTCCTATGAATCAGAATCCTATAGGAACAAATATTCGTCTTATAAAAATGAGAATAAAATCTGCACTCTCTCAGTTAAGAACATACAGGATGGAGATGAAGGTACCTACTACTGTGCCTACTGGGAGACTCACAGTGGGAGCAGCCTGTGGGCAGCCCTTACAGAAAGCTGGCTGCAACCTGAGCTGCACACTTTGATACAAGTGCCGAGAAGCACAGCTGCCTTCCTGCCCCCATCTCTCAGCCTTCAGGGCGTCCCCACAGGCTTCAGCAGAGGAAGGAATTCCAGGATGAGTCCATCGTTTCCTCTCCCTACCAGCAGCCGTCCTGCCCCTAATGTTCACTTTTTCAGTGCTGGAATGGCAGCACTGAAGGACTGGATGCAAAACGATGGATCTGTCACAAGGAAAGTGGCAGTAGGAGTTTGCAGAACATGTCCTGACGTGAGGTCTGTAGCGCATGCTGCAGTGACAGAGACCAGGAGAAGATCCAGAGCAGATTCACTCTCTTAGTCAGAGAAGGGGAAACAGCTCTGGAAAGAACATGCGGTGGTAGGGGTGCTGTTTGTGGAGACAAACAACATGCAGGGCTGGTGCAGCTGGCTGAGGAGGCCCATGGAGTTGTCCCAAGCATGAGGAAGTCAGGAGTTCACCATGACCTACTCCGTTTGTGCTACAAAAGCAGGCAGCACTTTCTAGGAAGGGCTGATGAAAGATGCTTCTTGGACAGCCCTGGGGGTCTGAGGAGAGCAGAGTGACCTGGGGAAGGGCACAGCTGAACAACCCTGCTTTCTATGTGTGTGCTTAGCAAGATTGATGGGTAAGATTAAATGGAATGTAGCAGATAGATAGATAGATAGATAGATAGATAGATAGACAGATATGTGCACACCAAACAGTTGCTGGATTGAATATTTCAGGTCCTGTCTACAGTGTTACTGATGGGGTTTCATTTGCCAGTGAGTTTCCCGCACACAAACACGCACTCCCTGGCAATGAGCTGAAGACCTTCCATTCCATCAGATGAGCCACGCGTCACTTCCTCCTCCCAGCTGCTGATGCCTTCTCCACCTGGATGGCTTTATAACACGTCTCCCCTGCCTCAGCTCTACATGTCACTCTTGCAGACAGCATGCTGTTGCTTCCCTTACTCGTTGTGACTTCACTTTGGTCCCGTAAGTGCCGTTTCCTTTCTCCTCTCCCTCCTGTGCATGGAGAACACAGTCCCTGCTCCAGAGCTTGGTGGCTCCTGGCCTACGTGCAGTTTCTCCCTGTTCCCTTGCAGGTGGGGATGCACAGGCTGCACCGGTGCAAAGCCCAGCAGAGCGCAGGCTGGTGGAGGGCAGCCCAGTCACCATGACGTGCCAGCTGAGCAGTGGAACCACTGTGCACTGGTACAGGCAGCTTCCCGGGGAGCCACCCAAGAGGATACTGTACATGTCTGGATCCTCACCTACCTTCGATGACAACAAGGACAGATTTAAATTTCAAGCACAGAAAAGTTCTTCCAGCAGTGTTCTGACAATAGAGAAAGCAACCCGGAGGGATACCGGTACTTATCTCTGTGCATATTGGTATTACCAAGGCTACACAGCATTAGATGGGCAAAGATAAGCTGTACAAAAAGGCATCTGGCACTCTGAACCTCAAGCTCTCAACTCCTGCCAGATGCAGATACTTTTTATGCCACCTTTCTCTGGTGATTTTCTGCAGCAGGAGAGCAAAAGCAGAAGATTAACATGGCAAATGCTAAATGAATTATCTTAACTAACTCTCAGAATACTTCTTCTGTACTTACACATAGCTGTAACATGCAGAAACTGAACAGTCTTTGTCACTTAAGGATAAAAACCGGTGACTTTGCAGATATGGCAAAGAACTGACTGTACTCAGAGCACTCAGCTGACAGTGGGCGCAGACTGTGTGCCTGTGGACAACGAGTAGTTGGAAATTGCCCTTCTTCATTGAAAGCTGTACAGCAAACAGAGAAACATATCTCTATCTGCTGCAGGCTCTCACTTGAACGGAGGCACACAAGCAAAGCAATGAGAGAAAGCTACATGGTCTTCCAGATCCTCCTTCATTCTTTCTCTGCTGTCATTACATTAACTACCAACTCCTTCTGCAGCACCGACGGCTCAATTTCACTGTGTCAAGTTCTCACCTGATGCATCCAGACAGAACTTCACTCTTCTTCCGTGGGCCTGCTCTCCAAGGAGCCCTTTGAGCACAGTGCACGGAGTTCTAAGAATTAGTCTATGGTCAAAGCCTCTTTTCACCATGCAGAGCAAAGCTGGCATTTGTGTGTCAGTTAGCTCCAGAACTGAGTACTGCATGTGATTAGAAGCCTGAGGCACAACATCCTGTGAGGTAGTGCACTGGAGAGACTGGACCTTCAGCCACACAGAGATTGCCGTAGTGGTGGTTTTGCAAGGCTCTGAACGCTGCTCGTGCTGAATGTGCCCTCGTGCTTTCAGTCCTTGCAGGGAGCAGCGGTTCTGTGCATTTCTCTGAAAAGCAGGCAGGACCCCCATCTTCTCAACAGCCTCAGCATTCTCTGCTCTTGCTCCTTTCCCAGGCTGCTGCAGCTTCTTGACAAGCACAGCCCCGTGTTGTTATGCACAGAACAAACACTGCTGGTGACTTCTCCTCCCACTCAGTGTGTCCCCATCTGGGGCCCCACATCTCTCAGTCTCCACAGCAGCAGAGCAGGAGCAGCAGCCATGCTGCTGCTGGCAGCTCTGATGGTTGCAACTGCCTGGTCTTGTAAGTGCCTCAGCTTCTTTTTCCTCACGGGCAACCATGGATTGTGCCCTCACAGATGTCTTCCCAAGTAGATTGCTGCCACTGAATAACAGTTTCTCCTCTTCTGCTTTTCTTTTTCTTCTTTTTTTTTCATTTTTTTTTCTTTTTTTTTTCTTTTTCTAATTCTAGATGGACATGCACAGGAAACTCCCATACAGAGCCCTGTATCCATCACCGTGTCACAAGGAAATGCAGATCTGAAGTGTCATTTTAAGGACTTCTCTGGACATTTTGATAGCACCGTCATACACTGGTATCAACAGAAGGAGAATAAAGCTCCAGTCAGGATGATCTACTTTTCATCAGGGACAGTAGTAGCAGATGAGAGTTTCCAAAGGCACAGATACAGGATTCAAACTATTTCTGGACAGAATCTTTGCACTCTTACCATAAGAAATGTAATTCCAGATGATGCTGCTACTTACTACTGTGCCTACTGGGACCCTCACAGTGGCAGATGCCAAACAATCACCACAACAAATACTTCCTCAGCAGCTCAACCACAGATCATTTGGAACGACCAGGTGCCAAGCAGATTTCTGCTCTGTGGGCAGAAGAATAGCAATGGACTGATACACAGTTCATCTGTCCTGGTAGATATTGGCCACAGGTTTTAGTCTCATGTTCTCTCCATACGGTCCCTAACACAAATGTGGGAAGCCACCTACCTGCCTGTCCTGACATGAAATGAAACGGCTTTTGCCATTGCTGTTTGCTAGGAAGAGAGGCAGTCGTCCAATCCTCTTAGCAATACGAGCATGACACCACATTGCCACGTGTCTCTCTGCTTTTGTTTTCCAGTCTTTCTCTCCACGAAGTGTTTGCATTTCTTCTGAGGCTCAGAACTGAAATCCTGTGGCTGCGCATTTCCTCCCACACTCCCAAACAAAGGCAGGGCACACGCTCACGGTGCTGCTGCCCGTTGCTGTACGCTGCAGATGGCAGCGTGGGCAGAGAGCATTTCATTGTGCTGGAGATGGGTGAGCATGCTGGGGCAGTTGAAGGGGGCCCCACATAGAAAAGGACATACCTCCCATCCACTCTGAGTGATGGCACACACTCAATGACCACCAAGGTGTCCTCTCATCTGGCAGCCTTGCTCCTGATGCCCAGCTGCTCTTTCTCTCAGTCCTTTCTCAGTTGCTCTTATGCAAAATTGATGTCCTTGGATTGAGCAATAGTTGTTGCATTTCTCTGAAAAGGAGATGTGATGATAAACCTTTAACCAACCTGAAGGAACATTTGCAGGTCTTACTCAATATCAGGCTGATGTGTTATTACAGCCCTATATTGTTATGCATAGAAAATACATCACTGTAGACTTCTCCTCCCACTCAGTGCAGCCTCCATCCAAGGCCCCTTTCATTCTCCTCTGAGTCTCAACAGCAGCTGAGTGGGAGCACCAAGCATGCTGATGCTGGCAGCTCTTATGGCCACAACTGTGTGGTTTTGTAAGTCCTTTTTCTTTTGTTTTCTTCTTAGGGTGCCCTTTGCTGCACTAACTACTTTCCTAATCCCTGAATTTCAGCTAATAACATCAGTTACACATTTTATCTCTTGCAGACGGATTTGCACAGGAAATTCCTATACAGAGTCCTATATCCATCACCAGATTCCAGAAAAGTGCACGTATGTTCTGTGAAATGAAGAAATTACCAGGACGTTTTGATAGCACCGTCATACACTGGTATCAACAAAAGGAGAATAAACCTCCAGAGAGGCTACTCTTCTTTGCAGAAGGGAAAACTACAGTTGAAAGTGGCTTTCAAAGGAACAAGTACATGGTTGATAAAGTTTCTAGTCGGAATCTGTGTATTCTTACAATAAATGATGTAAGTCCTGATGATGCTGCTACTTACTACTGTGCCTACTGGGACCCTCACTGTGATAGATGCTCAGAGACCATCAAGCCACAAAACTCCTTCAACCACTCAACTTCAGCTTCAGTCTGAACCACAGGACTGTTACTGCCTCATTCCCCAGCCTTCTCACTCCATCTGCTATCAGCTGCTACCCAGAGCAAACACTGCACAGATGCAGAGAATCACAAACAGTAAAGGGCTGGAAGGGACCTCTGCAGCTCATCCAGTCCATCCTCCTTGCTAAGGCAGATTCCTTAGAGCAGGTTACACAGGGAAGAGTCCCAGAAGTTCTTGAATGTCTCCAGAGGATGTCTTGGTGTCTTCCGGATGATGCTGCTACCTGCTATTGTGCCTACTGGGATGCTCACAGTGGCAGCAGCCCAACAATCATCTCAGTCAATACTCCTCCAGCAGCTCAATCACAAACCATTTGAAAGATCCCAGCTCACTTCCCCAGCATGGAGGAGTCTCCTGAACACATGGGGGATTTCCTCACTGCTGACCAGCTCCTGCAGATGTCAGCTTCCAGAAGATAGGGATTTCGAGCAAGCCAAGGGTGCCAAGGCTGAAGCAAACGGTGGACGTCTAAAACATAACCCAACCTCTGCTCTTCCTTTTTCCTCAGGCATAGCCATGAACTGTTTGTAGTGGTTCAGCTTGGATACTAGGGAAAATTTCTTCTCGGCAGGAGTGGTGATGTGTTGGAACAGGCTGCTCAGGGGAGCGGCGGAGTCCCCATCCCTGGAAGCTTTCAACAAGAGGGTGGACGTGGCACTTAGGGACGTGGTTTGTCAACAGGGATGACAGTTGCACTAGATGATCGTAGCAGTCTTTTCCAACCTTCATGATTCTATGATTGCTTCAGTACAAAGCATCTCTTTTCCATGCTGGTGACACTCTTTCATGTATCTGGTTGGTGTCCAAATGTGCTATTCTTGAGTTTTGTCCTACTAATGCTTGCAAGCCAAAAACACACAGAGGAATTGGACAGTATTTCTGCAGCACTCAGAGCTTTTCTTTCTGTGTTTCTAACTATGAGATGCAGTGGCATCCTTCACAGCGGGACTCAGGACACAGCTGGGGAAGAACTGGTCAGCTTCTTTCTCTGCCTGTGTTACTGCTGGTATTGCACTATGTTTGCCATAAAAATAATAGAATTTCTTAAGTTGGAAAAGCCCCATAAGATCGTGAAGTCCTCACATCCAGCAAGCACTACTAAGTCCATCACTAATCCATGTTCCTAAGCACTACATCACATGGCTTTTAGATACCTCCAGAGATGGGGACTCTGAGATACCCCCAGATATGGATAACCACCATTTATTTCACTGGGCAGCCTGTTCAACCCAGAAGAGTTTAAGAGTAGACCACTGTTTCTCTTAAATCTGCTTAAACTGAAAGTTGGTCTGAACTGCTTAAACCATCTGCAGTCTGGTTCCTCCCTGTAGCCACAAACCGTACTTTCTTGACATTGGTTTGTAGTCATTAGGGCACACAGTGTCCCAGAAGTATTCAGATTTTTCTTTGACATGTCAAGCTAAGCATGCAGGCTGGCTCACAGTACCTGGGTTTTCTCAGATGTTATCTTGTGCAGCCCTGAAAGGAACAAGCGTGCAAAGGAAAAGCCTTCATCATCCTGCTGACACAGGAAAAAATGTCTGTGAGTGGTTATTTCAGGGTCAGGATTGAGTTCAGGAGGCAGACAGGTAACAGACATGTGCTGGGACAGAAAATGGCAGATGCAGCACATGGACACCTTCACAATGGACCGCAGAGTGGCTCCCAGTGCTGGATTGTATCCTAGTACTAGCTGATGGTACTTAATTCTGGATGAGAGGTGGAGTACGCCCTTGAGGATGAGCAGTGTGATCACCTGAGTGTATGTGGTTCCTTAAGATGTATAATCCCATGGGCTGACTTGTGTGTGTAAAATTGAAGAGGATACCTTCACTTAATCATTATAAGTGGATGGGTTATCTGACCAGTTTAGAATCTTTTTAGAGGAAGATTTGGTCTAAAGGGAATTATATATCTGCTGAACACTGAGTGCAAATCTGAAATTCCTGACATCCTCCAACAAGGCAATGCCAGCCCATCCCTCAGGGAGTCTCCCAGGGCTTGAATAGTAAAAAAGGGCTTTTTGTTTTCAGTGCCTGCATGTTATGAGAGCACTTCAGATTTTTGCAAAGCCAAAGCACAGTGTGTAATGTGTGGATCAAATACTTCGGCACAGGAACTAAGCTGATTGTCTCAAGTAAGTACCATTGATACCAATCTGATTTTTACACCGTTGTTTGTGTTGTTAGATTATAGTTGTTAATGTAAGTGTTTAGGAAAAATAATTTCTGCTTGATAGGTCATATTTTGTCTCTAATCTGTGAATGTGCTTGCAGTTGGGTGTTGGTGGGCATGAATATCAACCTAGTGGATAGAGAGATCACAGGAAAGATTTCTGAATATTTATTGAGGATGGGGGGTGGAAAAACAAGGAGAGGTAGAAGTTTAAATGTTGTGGTGGATACATTCCTTGTGCTGTCCTAGGAAAGAATAATGAATTGTGAGAAAGCTTGTAGAACAGCTCTCAGTTCAACTAGTCAGAAATGCCAAAACTTGCTTGTTTATAGATGTGATTCAGCCTAAATTAATTGGGAAGAAAAATTGCCAGGAATTGAATAAATGTCGTGGTCCTGGCTGTACCTAAAGCAACCAGCTTCCCTTTGCCTTCAGTGACTCCTCAAAAACTGTGCAGTCTGCAGTAAGAATGCTACTGTCAGTATAAACCAGACAGCAGTGCCTACAGTGCCTTGCTCAGAAAATACATGAGCTTACCAAGGTGGGTATAAACAAACCAAACTGCAAAAAGCAGAAGAAAGTTGCAGTTCCCTGCAGTTTGCAGTCAGATTTTGTCTGTATACAGGCAGGTATTTTTGCCAAAGAGGGAACAGTGTAATCACTCAGAACAGCCACAAACTTCGTTAGACACGTACCAGGTGTTTTTTTAGTTTAGAATATGGTCTCTGCATGTAAAATATTGGCTTTGAAGTAAGAGTGTGATGAAGCTTAATCTAAGGTATTTTCACACAGCAATATTGTGCAAGATACCTTATCTAAATCCACAAATACCAAGTAATTAATTTTATTTTCCTTTAGGAATGATAATGTAACCACATTTCTTATTAAAAGAACAGCTAAAAGTTACTTTAGAGAAAATGAGGTAGGCTAGAAGCAGCAGATTTTGTTACAAACATCCCAGCACTAAAAGGGCTAAAGCACAGTAAGTAAGCATGAGACAGCTTTCTTTTCAGGAAATGCTACATTTAAAAATTGAGACATTTTACTCACTATGAAAAAATAAAATAAAATCATAGTATTTCTAAATATTGCACTCAGTCCATACCAAAATTTCAGTTATTACGCTGGCCAAATTATCACCAGCTTCTAAATCAGAGAAATAATCTCTGTGGCTTGTGAAAGAAAAATGAAGTGCAGAAGATATTGCTAAGCATTATCACACTGTGCTATGGTGATGAGAAAATATTTGGAAGTGGAACTAAGCTTATTGTTTCAGGTGAGTGTGAAATAGAACTACATCTGAAATGCATTTCAATACTGTTAGATGCTGACTACGTGATGTGCTCTGGTTCTTTACCTCCCACTAGGATTAAAACAGAATGCTTTGCAGGATTTTACCTGCAAACAGTATTTTCTGATGCAGAACACAACATCATTGTTTTGTATTTGTATGTGAAATAGGAAGAATGAGGCAATTATTCCGGTGGAGAACATAATTAACCCCTTTTTTTCTCCTTAAAGATGAATTTAAATGTGGCGAAGATAATGTTCAGAGAAATAAAAGATTTTATTTTTTTTTATCTTTAATGGTGCGTATTCCACTCTTGTGACATGTCTAATTCATTCCAAAAGACTGGCAATCTTGGAAGAGCAAAGAAGAGCAAGAGGCTTATTTCTGTCTCAGTCTGACTATGCCAAATAGTGGGAGAATGCCCAGAACTGTTTTAAGACCTGCACAGCTGAGAGACTACTCTCTCTCCCTCTCTCTCTTAGTATCACTTATTACATATTATCAGTTGTTATTATTGAGTGCTGAACTGTAGAGACACTAATTTTCCTTTCCCAAAGTACTGACATACTCTATCAAAATTTTATTGCTTCACATAACGTTCAGCTGTTTGATGCCTGCCTGTGGTTTGGCTTGACTAAGTACCTGGGATAGAAACTCTAATTTTGCTCATCTGAAAATGGGGTGTATTGGTAATGGGAGGTTTGATTTTTAATTAAGGTTTTGCTTCATGTTCTGATAACAAAAATTCTGATCAGGGGGTTTGTGCTGCTCAGCTCTCACCATAATGTTCGCTGATTCTAGGGCTGATTTTATGGTGCTTTAAGGGAGCGTTTAAGGCCAGCTTGGACGGGGTCCTGGGCAGTCTGGTCCTGTATTAAATGTGGAGGTTGGTGGCCCTGCCTGTAGCAGGGGCGTTGGAGCTTGGTGATCCTTGAGGTCCCTTCCAACCCCGAGCCATTCTGTGATTCTGTGATTCTATGATTCTGCTGTTGCTGCTTTCTCCAAGTAGCAGATGAGTGAAATTACTTAGTCTGCTACATCCATCTAAAGTTTTGAAAGACTGAAATTAGTTGAGATGAACCCTGCCCATTTAGCAATGAACGTTTCCTCAAAATCTTCACACCATGTATTTAGTTAGTTAGTTACTTTAGGTTACTGATTATTTTTGCTGTTCTAGGATCTAAAAATTGATTAAATCGAATCTGTTTATCTTTATAAAATAATATTTACTCATAAATTAAATGTGCCCTTGTCACAAAGAAGGCTGGCAGTATCTTGGGCTGCATTAGGCGTAGCATTGCCTTCAGATCAAGGGAATGGATCCTTCCTCTCTGCTCAGCACCAAGGAGCCCACTTGTGGATTTGTCCAGTTCTGAGCTTCACAGTGGGACATTGGTGACACATTGGGACACAAGTGGGACATTGGTGTATTTGGGAGAGTCCAACACAGAGCCATGAAGATGATAGAGGGATTGGAGGAGAGGCTCTGAGAGTTGGGTCTGTTCAGTCTGGTGAAGAGAAGGTTCAGGATCATCTCAACAATATCTATAAATTCCTGAAGGGAGGGTGTGAAGAAGATGAAGTCAGGCTTTTTTCAGTGGCACCCAGTGTCAGGAGAAGAGTCCATGGGCAACGTTAGCCATTCTGAGATACTGTGATACAAAGATAACAGATCTGATATTGTAAAGACTTTATCCATCGTGTTACGGATATTACTACAAAGTTTTCGGCACTGGTACAAAGCTCATTGTCTCAGGTAAGTTACTTTCCTTACCATAAGATAAAGGAGCTTTTTGTGTTCATGCAGATTGATTATTATGGTGTCCTGGAGGACATTCAGCTTGCTCAGAGCTTTGGTCAGCACTGTCCCCACGTGGGTTTCCCTCGTCTTGTCATTCTGCCAGTCTTGTTGATTTGTAATGCAGTGGTTTAGGATCGCAAATATACCCAGGAGCTGCTTTTTTTATCACTTATGAGCATAACTCCTCCTTGGAAATACTGTGAAAAATGATCAGGCGTAGTTTCAAGAGCCCTCATGCTTTCTTCCAATTACCGAAGCATTAACAACAGAATCAAGCAGTTGTGAATTAAACATAAAAAAAAGAAATCCTCTTCTCAATACAGATTCAAGTAACAATTTGCAATGGTGAAAATTGCTGAAGTCCTTTTTCAGTTAGACTAGTAAAAGTGAAAGAATTTGTGCTTAATTATTTTTGTTATCTACACAGCGCTTTGGCAGTAGAAATAAAATAGTACCTCCAAATTCTCCTCTTTTATTAACATATTATTAACATTAACATTATTAACATATACTTGAAGAAGTCACCTTTTTCTTGCCATTCCTGCAGAGATATTTATTTCAATGGTACACTGAGGACAAAATCCTCCCTCTTCCCCATTAACTGGTGATCTAAACACTGTAATCCTAAGGTAGATTATTACAGAAGCACAAGGGTGGGGAACTATTGCTTCCAAATATTTTAAGCCTGATGAAATGCATTGCCTGATCAATCAAAGGTTGTTTTAAACAATTCCTTTATGAAAGACTAGCAAAATCATAACTATAATTCACTAGAAATATCTATGTTGGGACACTTTTTGTGTTAAGAGAAATTAAGTGAATTAAGTGAAAGCCCTTACCTTGGTGATCAGGTGGTCACCATTTAATTAGTATTTACAGCTTAAAATAAATGATTTTCAAGTGTCTACCAAAACTTGCAGGATTCAGTTTCCTTAATGAGGGCCAAGGTTCCTGACTAATTAAGAGAATAAAAAGCCTACATTTACCTCATGCTTATGATCTGGCACCTCACAAGTACATTGCTAGCTTATTAGGAAGTAATAAGACAAAGAATCTATTAATATTTCTAGTAAATAAACGCACAGCAGAAATTGCAGCAGCAATATTTTATTTCTCTAGATGCCAGCTCCTAAATATTACCAAGGAATCTACCATGATTTCATCAAAAGCGTGAAGTTCAGTAGTCAAATAGCTAGAATTATTTTTTGCAATTTTATAGACTAAAATACATCTTGCTTATATACTTACATTTATGCTTTATGTTTATGCTTACATTTACTTACATCATCTAAAATTGAATTAAATTGATATTCTGCCCTTTTAAATCAAAATGCACTCATTAGTATTTTTCTGTGTTTGCTTTTTGTGTGTGTTTATGGGGAAGAACATGAAGTTCTGAATCAAAACCCATTAGATTTGAAAGCCCAGACCAGTGTTATGGAGAAAGGGTTGTGCATGAAACAAGTAAGGGAAGACGTGGGCAATCTAAAGAAAACTGCAGAGCTAATCCTCATTAATAATATTAGTAGGTACACCTGCTAATGACATTAGCAGAAATAACAAGGATGTCACGGGCCTGAAGGTGAACTGAGTACCTCTTTCTTTTAAGGAAACCTAGAGGAGAAAGAGTGTGGTATGCTGTTCTAACAAGGTAATACAGATGACAGAAAAGTGATGTGGAATTTGCAGTAGCAAAATCCATCTCAAATTTACCGAAATGCTTGTGTGATGCTGCCATTTTGGTACTGACACCACACTAACATCAGTACTCTGTATGCAAGTAGGGTAGGAGCAGGAGGGCAACAGTCCTGACCCCACACCTGTGTGAGCATATTGCAATGGACCTCAGCATGCAGAGTAAGATCCAAAATGAGTAAGGGCTCCTACAACAAGCCTGAGAGGAGCTGTGGCTGTTCAGGACTGTCCAGCCCAGATTTCCTGTAGTGCTTTTCGTTAATTCAGTTAAACAGGAGCCCAAGGCGTTTCTTTATGTGCACCATCTTTGGCAAAAGAATCATTTTCCCCTCTCAATTTTTTAATAAAAAGCACAATCACTCTTAGTTACACCATGATACAAAAGAACAACCTAAATAGTTATCTAAATGGTTTATCTAAATCAAGGTTATTTAAATAATCCTAATAGTTACACTGCCAGTTGCCTTCCATTAAAATATTTCCTCCTTATAGTTGTTAACCCAAAACAATCTGTGTTTCACAGAAATTGGAAATGGATTGCTAAGTAATACTGTGTGATGAGTTTCAGCTTTTGTGCATGAATAGATTCAGCTAGAGAAACAGCCTACACATATTGATATCACCAAAGCAGGCTGATTTTGGTGAATGAAAATGATGATGAAAACATGCTTGACAAACCTCTGCTCCCATGGATCTTTAGAGATCTTTATTTCAGTGTATAGAGAAGCACACATAAAATTTGTTACAAAACAAGAACTTGGAAGGATTTGAAAGAGATAAAAAAAGGATTCAAAATGAGTGGTTAAGACCTTGCATTCAGTTTCATATCATAAAATCAAATAAAATCAATGCTTTTAGGATCATGTGGTCAAAAAGCACTCAGCATCCCTAAAAAAGAATTAATTCCTCTGGGGAAAAAAAAAAAAAGAAAAAAAGTAGAAGATGTGTGGTAGCTCAGTCAGTGCCTCAGAAATCAACAGTTTTGCTTTATTCTAGTATCTTCTAAAAAGTAATAGCAAAGATCAGCTTGAAATGGAATTTTAAGTGCATTTCACTGAAGGCTCTTTGGGAATAGAAATGAAAACTGAAATTGAGCTCATAGTTTCCACATGATTTTTAGCTAAATAACTAGACTCTCTTCGTTCATAAAATGGAATACTTCTGTGGCCAAAACGTCATAAACATTTTCTGTAAGGAAATACAGCAGTGTGGTTATACCAGATCCTTGGCACTGGCACGAATCTCGTGAACTCATTTCCATCAGGTCCTCTAAAGTTGTTTTTCTGTTTGTTTTGGGTTGGTGTTTGTTTCGTTGTTGTTTATTTGTTTACATTTTGTAATGGCAAAGTTGTGGAGTGAAAGTTGAGTGGAGACTCCTTCCTTAAGTTTCCTGGGGAGGCTCAGCATAGGCAATGTTATCACCAACACTTCAGATCCAAGATGCTGTCTATAAGCCGAGTGCTCTCAGCTCATTTTTTGTGGGGCCACCCAAAAAAGGATAATTAAAATTTCAACCCAACTCTCCCTGCTTTATTACAAGAAAAGCCATGCACTGGCTTAAGAATTATGTGCAGGTTACATCTGCATGGTGATATATTGTTTTAAAAAGACATGGCTGCCTCTTCAAGCCTGCATAAAAGAACTGTTTGATGAAATAAGCAGCACAGAGAGAGCGCAACTAAAGAAAAAAGGCAGCAGAGTGTAGAGTGGACATTTACTACTTCAGCATTCCTCAGAAAGTATTGGATCTCGTGCACAGATAAGTCAATGTAAATCAGCTTGTTGACTTAATTAACTTTACAGATCAGCCTGAAAATACATCAAAAACCACTGACAGGTTTTTGGCTTTTTTTTTCTGCTAAATAGAATTGCAACTTATCTGTATATTCACACATAACTGAACGTATTTTCATGCATACTGGAAAAACTTCCTGTTGCCAAATAAATGAATGAACACAGCTCTTGCTGGAACCATTACTTATTATTTAATAATTGCCTATGACCTATGCAGACTCTGTTTGAGGGCAGTTCTGCTGGGAAGGCTGTGGGAGATAGGCTGCCCCATAGCCCCCTAACATCTTCTGACTCAGCTTCAAGGGAGAGTGGCTTTGAATATATTCAACAGTATTTCAGCTTCTTATCATGTTTCTCAAAATAAAATAAAATAAAATAAAATAAAATAAAATAAAATAAAATAAAATAAAATAAAATAAAATCCCACCCAAAAAAAAAAACCAACCCTCCAAACATTTTTGAGCACGTATCTGAAGTTTTGACTAACCGGACAAAATTTAATTTAATAAAGCACTCAAGAAATCTTTTGAGAGACCGTTTTTAATGTACAGTGATAAAAACTTCTCTATCAGATGTGCTGCTTGAGGACAAGCATGAGCAGAGCTGTCTAGATATTCATGTTCACTGAACAGTTTGGAATTCAAATGATGTTTTGCCATGTGTGTGGCAGAGTATGAAAGCTTCTATCTAACATTCTCTGGACTTGGAAGAGTCTATATGTTGTATAAGCAACATTGAGTCTAGACTGTTTTAAGTGAATCTTCTACTTTTGCAATTGATTTGCTGTTAGTTCTCTATGAAATAGCATATTTAAAATAAGATTGGAAGTCCTGTTTTCTATTCCCAGTTATTCAGAAGAGTCTTGTAACTGTTTTTGACTGGAACCCAAGTGGTAGACTTTGATTTAATAGTTTAAATTCATTTCATATAAACCGTGTCTAAACGTCAAGTACAGTCAGCTCAAATGAAAGCTTATTTTTACATAAAGGACAGCAAGGGTTGTAATCCATCCATCCGCTTACCTAAAATGTATTTTGTACCTGAGCCATCGTTATTCCCATCCTAAGTATTTCATAATAAACTGGAGAGCTAAAGTATTCGTCGAGAAGAAATATTTTGTCTCTGAACACCTGTGATTTATTGCTGTACACTTCCAAGATTCCAACTCTTCATTTTGTTATTTCTCTTCCCCTCCAAAAATAAATCCAGACAAAGGAAATTCTGGACCAGAGAATTCTGAAATCCTGCGGAAGGAGCACAAAAACCAACTCGTGTATGTTTGTCTGTTTGAGAAATTCTACCCAGAAGTTGTTCGGGTGAAATGGTTGGATGAAGCAAAAAAGGAGGTAACACAGAACGTAGTAAAAGGAGATGTCTGGAAGTTTCCAGGTGAGGAGAAGTACTCAGTCAGCTCCTGGTTATCTGTACCACTGGAGGACAAAAACAAGAAATATTCTTGCCATTTTGAGCATGAAAGTGGAGATCAGTCACTGCTCACCCATGGTAAGCACTGCATTTTAAATTTTTTATTCTACCTACTATGTCTTTCCTTTTTTTTTTTTTTCTTTTTATAAATGAATTTTTATTTTTCAGCACAATTCCAGAAATAATGCTGTATATTACTACTCCTGCAAGCTTCTGCATTCCTAGGCACCATAACTAAAGTTCTCATCAGCTGAAACAATCTAAGCTTTTCCAGGAGAAAAAAATCAACCTGTGCTGAGTTTGCCAAGCGAAGGCCCCTTTGTAGTTCTTCAGTGTCACCAGGTGTAAAGCAGGATTGCACCAAAAGGTCTGCACTGACTTACCTGGCAGTATGCAGAATTTCTTCAAAACCGTGTTACTGCTGTGTTACAGCAGAGGCATCGAGCCCTCTGACATCAGACATGGCTATAATAAATGCAGGAGGTAAAAATAAGGCTGATGGGTGTGTAGAGCAGTGTTTAAATCTGTTACTTGTTCATGGTCTGGTGGCAGTGAGGTAATAACCACTTTAAAAAGAAAGAAATTATTTAATTGCTGGAAAACTGATTACGTGAGGAAAAATCTGAAAGCCAATGCAGTTTCAGAGGGAAAAAAAGGTAATCTATAATAACTGGTCTAAACCTACAAATGGGTTGAATCATGGTAACATCACTGAGAAAGCTGCTTATTCTGGATAGGTGAATCTTTCCTGAGCTCACCTTGCTGTACATGAGTACAGCTCCACTCCCTGAAAATACAGCCATACACAGCTATTACTTTCAGAATATATTCTGACAAAAGTATGTTTCAAGTGTACTTATAGCCCCCATCTCAATGAATTCAAATACCATCACCGAGAACAAACCCCAAAAGGAAAAAAGCTCAAGAAAGGGAGGTCATTTTAGAGACACCAATCTACCACTGGAACAGCAAATTCACAAGAGGGAACGTGAGTGACAACTGGGTGCTCAGATTGACTTCAATCGGGAAATTAAAGAGCTGCTGCCAAAAATCTGCCTAACAGAGGCATTCACAAAAGGGCAAAAGCAAAGCCCCAGGTTAAGGCAGCAAACACTCATTCACTTCTGTATCAACATTTGTCCCCTTCAGTTCCCCCCGTGACGGAATCCTACTGGTGGACAACTGATCTACAGGCATGTCTTGAACATCCTACTTTTTTAAATACTAACTTGCACTTCACTGTTGCTCTTCTTTTTAGCCCTATGTTAATCTTTGTTAAAATTAAAGTCCAATTTTGTCATTTAAACTCTCTTTCCAGTGCTTTCTTCAGAGAGCTCTCCTCAGAAGAACTGTAGCACTGAATCCAGAAACAGCACAGTTTTTAACAGAGGTAATGACAATGAATAAAATGGGGGAAAGCAATGTGGAAGTTAGATATCGCTTAATATGAACAACGCGAACATTTTAAATAGCTTGCAGGAAATCTGTTAAATTCTGGGGTCTGCAACTTAAAAGGGCTTCCATGCTACTCTGAATCACCATGTTTTGGAGTATAAAAAGCAGCCTTCCTGGCTGGACTTTGTTAGCTGGTTGCAGATGTTGTTGGGGCTGCTGCTCTAGGTTATTAGCTTGCATTAAACGTCACTGCTTTAAATACTCAGCACAGTTAAATGCACAGCGCTTGAGCTGATGCTCCTTCAGACTAGCAACTGGCAAAGAAGCTTTCCTTTAGATTGAATGAGGATTTAGGAAGTACTTTGGGCACTCGTGTCAAGAAACTGATGCAAAATGATTCCAGGAAACACGGTGTTATTGATGGTGGAAGAGCCAGAAGTTCTTGCATTGCAGGGAATGCTAACCTGGCAGCCAGTCTAGCACTAAGAAACCTGCCCCATCTGCAGCCTGCTCAGGGGACAGCCAGACACCATGTCATACATTTCCACATAAATGCAGCACACAGACCTGGCTCTGCCTGTTTCTTCTAGGAGGTTGCACAGTACTGATGTCCAACAGGAATTTTCTGCCTTCCCTTTGTTGCAGATCACTTGACGCACAAGGCAGCGCAGTTGGTGTACGTTGTTCTGCTTCTGAAGAGCTCCATGTACTACGTCATCATACTCTTCTTCTTCTTCAAGTACAGAGCAAGGAATGCAGCTAAGCCCTCGGGAAAGAGAACGTAAATACTGGGTTTGGAAAGGTTTATAAGATTGTCTTCAATTTGCTTTGCTGTATAATTATCCACATAGGTTCTCTTGCTCTCCATGCTAGATACAACAACAGAAATAATCCTAAGAGAACAGGCATATAGAGTTTGCTGTGCTTTACTGCTAGTGTTTTCCTAACTTTTTCTGAGTATTGAACTGAGCTGGAGGTGAGCAAAAAAAGTAAGTTTACATGGGGTTTTAGTAGGAACTCTGTAATGCAACATGAAGAACCTCCTCCTGCTTAAAGTATTTTTGCATGCATAGGAGTAGATGTAATGGAGCTTTCAAAACATAAAACATTGATGCATTTTATCAATGCATTTTAGGATCAGTTAGGAGCATTCCACTGCTGAAAATGCATCAATGCTTTTTTTTTATTATTTTTTTTTACTGTCAATGATTTATTGCAAAAAATAGATCAAGTTCACTAAATCAGGACTTGAATATTCTGAAGCGATAAATGCTTTAAAAGACTCAGCAAGGCATGATTTTTGAAAGCAAAGATATTATCTTTTAGCAAGTTTAATGACCATAAAAGCAATTTTAACATGCATATCTATAGAAATTTAAGAAATTCACCAGGCCACAGGCTAGCACTGCTGCACAAACTGAAAACTTGCATATCGTATCTTCAAAGGTACAAAACGATCGCAGTTATCACCTTGCTTAGGTGATCTTTTCAAACTCAGCAAAACCTTACAGCTGGTGCTTCAATAGAGAAAGTGTTCTCACATCACAAGAAAACTCTCAGATGCTGTACTTCAAACTCCTCATGTCCAGGTTTTGCTAATTTAGAGCTTGTACAATTTGGAGAGGAATGCCTGCACCAAACCTGTAATGATGTAGAGCAATAAAAGCTTCCCTTGAGAGGCGTTTGTGAGACCTCTGTTTGTTCTACAGGCTGTACCACGGTGTCTTGAAAGCTTGGTTATTTTCCATGTCCATTGAATTCCTTGGAGAATGAAGGATCCTTAAAACCACTCGTTTTTCTTTTATTCTTTTCCTATTTTTAAACGGGGACACAGTTCTACATAGAAAAATGAAAATTAACCCAATAAGTCTTATCCAGTGTACAGCAAAGCTGGGGAGAAACAACGTGCTGTTGCAACAGGCCTGTCTTCCACCCCTGCTCAAGAAGGGCTGCCTAGAGCAGGCAGCTCAGGACTGTGTCTTCTCAAAAGATGTCTTTTGAGTATTTCCATGGCAACCAGTAGCAAATCTCTGAGCCTCTCCTCATATGAAAGATACTCTGGTCTCTTGATTATCTCTCCTGGCTCTTTTCTGGGCTTTCTCCACAACCTCCATGCCATGTCTGTCTTGTACAGATGAGACCAGAATTGGAGCCCTCAAAACTACCAGAAAACCACTGCTGACACTCAAGACTCAGCCAGGGACCTTTAGATCTTCAGTCTAACTCTCTCCTAGCTGAGCTATTTCAGCACTGCCCTAGCTTCAATATTTACAAAACCTGATGGAATGTGATTATCTTTCAGCTGTATTCAGCTAAGCTTTGCAGACATCAGCTTGAGTCAAAGTGATTTCAGGGAATGAAATAGAGACAGACTGGGCTCAAAAGAAATGGTCCAACCAGCAGTATGAACACAGGGTCCCAGTCATGGGCCCTACCTCTGCTTACAGAGTCTGTGTGTGAGCCTTTAGTAATAGGGTGATGGGTGATGTCTAGAAGAGAAGCAGGGAAACAAAACTTCAGTTCTTGAAGGAGGTGTACATCTACCTTTAGAACAGAGAATGTATCTGTCACAAGCCAAAGGGAAATAAAGATACAGAGCTAGGACTCCATAATTTGACCTTACTGATGAAGCAGCAGAATGGTAACAGACAGGAGTGACGGATGATGAAGAGAAGGACAATGTAATTGTACAGTGAGAATGGGAAGAAAATAAAACAGACAGTCAAGCACAAACTGTTCTTTCTACAGAAAAGGAACTTGGTATCCAGGTGGACAACAGGTTGAGCGAGGAGTGTGTCCTTGTAGCCAAGAAGGCCAATGGGTTTGTTAAAAAGAGTATGGCCAGCAGGTCAAGAGAGGTTCTCCTCCTCCTCTGCTCCATTCTGCTGAGTCCACATTTGGGCACTGTGTCCAGTTCTGGCGTCCCCAGTCCAAGAGAGGGCACTTCTAGAGAGAATCCAGAGGGGGACTACAAAGATTATTAGGATCCTGGAGCACCTCCCTCATGAGGAAAGGCTGAGAAACCTGGGACTGCTCAGCCTAGAGAAGAGAACACTCAAGGGTAAAATCTCATTGATGCTTATAAATATCTAAAGGGCAGGAGCCAAGTGCATGAGGCCAGGTTCTCTTTGGTGATGCCCAGTGATAGGACAAGAGACAGTAGGTACAAATGGAACACATTTCTCACATTCCATCTGAACATGAGAATTGACTGCTTTACTTAGAGGATAAGAGGCTGCCCAGAGGTGTTGTGGAGATACTCAATACCTTGGATGCTTTCTGTGTAACCTCTCTTACGGAATCTGCTTTAGCAGGGGGTTGGAATACATGACCTCCAGAGATCCCTTCCAATCTTTAAGATTCTGAGATTCTATAATCTTTAGTCAAACTCTCTTTGAAAATGGGCTGATATCCTGTGTTATTATTTGCTAAGGCTTGATTCCAGTGCAAGTGAAATACAACAGACAGAAAAGTATTTGGGAAATGCACTTATTGTAGATTCGAGAAACAAAATTAATATCACTGCCAGGCCTCCCTCACCATTATACCTGCTAGTCCATCAGGCTAGAAATGCATTTGATTGCTACAGTGAATCAAGTCTGCTTTTACTAAGATCATCCTCAAATCCACTTGTGCCGTCTCACGTACAAATCAAAAGGTGCTGTCCGTGTTGCACAGTGAAAAAAAGAGCAAACATGGCCTTTTAAGCTTTTTGAACAAAAAACCCTGCCCATAAGCAGTGCTGAACAATGTTCAGAATAGCTCTTATCTCACAGTTTATGGGGTTTCTCAAGTGCATAGCTGCAAGTCTCACATTTGCAACAGATCACATGCCCCTGTAGTGTATTTATACAGGCATGCGCTGCTTATAGCACGTTTGTATTCTTATTTATTTGGCCCAAGTAGGAGGACAAGTGGATGTTTTCAGGCGTGGGGTGCAGGGGGGGCTAATGGCAGGAAGCTTAGGTTGTTTAGTGGAAAAAACCAGCAAACTGAACCAGTCACAACCAGCTCAGAGGAGGTGGGCTGCGATGGAAACGGGCGATAAGCTGAGGACAGTTAGACCACAGCCGCCCTGTCTTTTACCACAGAAAGTTTCTAAACCACGGCGATGGAAATACAGAGCGATAAAACCAAGTGCCTACGTGACGTGGTAAAAAACAGTGACACTGATGGCTCACTACACGTTGCTCTAACTGTGACAGCCACATGTAAGGGCTACCGCTGTGCACAAACACGGGTGCTGCAGGACTTCCACTCTTATTTATCACGTATGCATGCCAGAGTTAGATGCTATCTAATGCTAATTTCTGCAGCCAGGACTTTCTTAGTGCTTGAAAGGTATGTCTTCTCAAATGAGTGTCTTATCACAGCAGATTTTCAGTGCTTTCAAGCTTCTAAAAGCATGAGCATTACAGCTGCTGTGCTCCCGCTGTGGTTGCAAAAATAATGAAAGTACTGAGAAAATGATTGCAGTCAATCTGGTGCTTCTAATGAAAAGACAGAATGGAACACACTCACATCTCTAAAACACGAAGGAATAATGTGCAGAAGAATTTTGTGGGAAGGAATTTCCAGTTTTCTTTGTTTTGCATCCTATACTGAACAAGAACTTGCATGGGTGAGAATTCTGATTTCTCATCTACTAAAATGCCCTAGAATAGGTGATAAGGAAAGAAACACGTGGATTCCTCTCACAAATAGTTGCAAGGGAGAAAGATCTGTGTAAGGATTACAGCAGACTTCTGTCCATACCAGTTACCAAAACAAATTTTAAAGGAGATCCCAAGAGCAGACTAATCATTTTGAGAGTCTGAAACACGTGGGGCACCAGCACACACAGGTGCTGAGCAGATCAAAAACCTCCAAAGAACGGTTCAAGAGTTTGTCCCTCTGCACCTAAAGGGAAATAGATGAAATGACATCAACAATCAATTGACAAGTTTTAGCTCTCGAGTCTCAACTATCACTAAATATACTTCCACTATAAAGAAGTTTTATTTCAATCTTTTGCCAATCCCTTGGCTTGGTGCACAAGACATCACTTGCAGTGATTACTTCGCTATTTAGAAGATCACTTCAGGTGTGCAATGCAGACAAATATTCTCGTACTGCTTGCAAGTAATCTAACATGCATATACCAACAAGGCACACCTTTGCTGCTGTGCAGCACACACTGCAGTACAGGGGAACCATTCCCTTTACTTTCTAATGAGTAATTCCTTCTACATCCACCATTCTTAAAGAGGACCAGAAGATCTCAGATCAGAATCCTCAGCTTCTTGAGGTTTAATTCCTCCTTTGGCTGGAGCTTTGCCATTTGTGGTAAAGCGAATGCAAGACAATCCTGAAAATAAATTAAGTCATTTCAAAAATGAGAAAATCAACTCTCATATTTAACTGAAGCACACCACAAAAATCTTCAGTAACCAGTGGTGGAGGGTAACACTCTCCTGGTATTAAGCAGAGGGAAGAGGGTAAAGACTCAAGTAGTTTTGTCTGACAATCTTCAAGATGAGTACATTTGTCCTACAACTAAAGTAAAAGTAAATCTGGAACTTCCTCTCTCCAGAGAAATTTTTTCCACCCCTTCCCCTTCTGGTCCATCATCATCTTTCCAGGATAGCTGTTGAAGAAATGATGGAGACCAGCCATGAGATCTGAGATTTGGGCTGTGCTGTGTGGAGCCAGGTGTTGGACTTTATGATCCTTGTGGATCCCTTCCAACTCAGGATATCCTATGATTCCATTGCATCCTGAGTCTTTTTCATCATGCTGCAGAAGAGCTTCTGCAGCCCCTGCACTTGGATCAGCCAGAATTCAGAGGCAGTTGAGTCCAACTCAGGCTCAGATCAGCCAGAACCCAGCAGGACTTCCTGCAGCAGGTTCAAAGATGAACTCAAAGAAATAGTCCACTAATCAAATTATTTTGGGATGGAGCTAAAGAGAAAAAAGGTACCTATTTCCAAGAAAACTGGAGTTCTACACAAAGGTTCTCTCATTTACAATGAGTTTTCCACTGCCCTGTTTTTCTCTGAAGACTTCCTCAGATCCTAAATGGGAAGAGAAGATTGTTACTAACTCTGCTGAAAGAAATCACAGGCACTTCAAATCAAGCATTTCCCCCAAATTACTCCCTTTTTCTTTTAATCTGGAGAACATATTTTCAGATGTAACCTGGAAGGCTTTAAGTTATCAAATCCAAAAAAACAACTTCTCTAGGATCATTGCTGAAATGCCTTTCCTCACAAAAGGTTCTGTCAGCGAGGACTTTCAGTTTCACTATGACACTTGGGATAATCAACTCCATGTTTCCTCCCTCGCAAGCAGTTTTCCCCACTCATTGCAGCCTTCCCCTTCAGAAGACATCTTCAGAAGCCCTTTTGGGAGCAGCCAGAAGCACTGCTTTACAAAATAAATCATTTCTGTAATAAGCGATCTGGAAAGAGGTTGTCTCAGCTCCAAGCCACGACCCAAATAGCTCCTTCTGTTGTCTTCTCCTTGCCCCTTCATGCTCTAAGCCCTTAAGAAAGATCAGGTGGGCACAGGACCACTAAACCAGAGATGGCTCCTGCAGGAAGCAGGGCTTTGCAGGAGGGTGGTTGGCTGTGAGTCATTTCAGGGAGACTTTTCCTCATCTTTCCTGGTGCAGCAAAACTACTGCTTATTTTCAGGCTC